TGACCAATTTTTTCCCTTTTGGAAACCATGTCCTGCTCAATCATCGCGTTGTGTCAATACTACGCAGCGGATAGCTCAGGGGAGTGGACAGAGCTCTAATTTTGTTAATGAATGTTTGCGAAAAACACTGGAATCTCATTCTTGGGTTAATACCAGCCAAACACGGGTCAAGATCAAGGCTGAAGTCCGGAAGTCGGGTGAACAATAGTCTTAATCGCTTTTGTCCATTTTCTCAGCCAAAGTGGCGTAGTTTGATTGTGTCCCATAAACGCTTCCGGCATAGACAATTGATATTGTTCGAAATTTTTCACTTGGTAAATTTTTCTGTAAACAAAAGTACGGAATTCTATTCTGTTCCTTTAGCAATAGCATTTATATTCTTTTGGTATGGAACTGTCACCAACAGCTTCAATCACTGAAGATGTAATGTTGATCAGCGATGATCTACCCTCTGACTCCAATGTTTACACTATTCTTATCTCTCTCTGTTATTTTTTAAAATAAAAATACTATTGATAAACACAGAAAAAGACGTATTCAGAAAATCCAATTTCCAATGTTTTGTGAATGTGTATTCACCAGGTTAAGGTTTTTCTGTTTTTCCCCATTTTCGCCTTTATTATTACCAATTGGCCATTATAGGGATTAGCCGGGGCTCCCTATCTTTTCTTCTTTCTTTTTTTTTCATTCTTTTTCTTTTCTTAATTTTTCTTAATGACCTGTTCAGAAGCCATCCAATTTCAAATCACAGTTGGCTGTGGAGAACAAAAACATAAAGCCCTCCTGAAATATATGCAAGACGCGGACATGTCAATTTAAATTGAGGAGCGTAATTGTTTAAAAAAACTAAAATAAAATAAAACAAATACATAAATGAGGAAGAAATTAAGAAAAATATGAAAATAAAAAAAAGAAAGAAAGAAGAAACGAAGAGAGCTCCGGCTAATCCCTTTAATAGAGTGGCCAATTGGTAATAACAAAGACCAAAAGGAAAAAAAAATATAAACCTTAACCTGGTGAATACACATTCACAAAACATTGACAATCGGAGTTTCTTAATATTAATTTAAAATAACAAAACTAAATAAAAATAGACTATAGAAACTACTAGTTCAACATAAAAATTCAAAATATTTATTTATTGTCTTCATCATATTGTACTTTTACAAACTATCTTATGTATTTGTAGTGTTTTGTTTTGAGTTTATTTCATGTATACTTCACAATTCAAATTAGCTTAATTACTATTCGGAGGTGTGACGTAGGTTTTAGAAAAAACATTTTCTTTATTGCCAATGTTTCAAGCTTTATTGAGATCATCTTCAGGGCTCGAAGTGTTTGTTTTCTGCGTAATTGTCCCATTTTTGTGTGTCGTGTTGAGAGTGCCAGTGACATGTAACTTAATTACCCTGTCTTTTATATTTTAAAGCACAACCCATCTTTGTGTGAAATGTGTTGCTAACTTATCTATACTGTTACATTGTTGAAACGTTTTATAAAACAAAATCAAACGCCCGTTGGATTTATCTATTCCACCCTTTCTATTCTACTTCTTGGTTTGAATTAACGACGTGAAACCGTAAGCGTACGATAGAAATGGGAACACGGGATGAAATAGATCAAAAATAAGGTTGACCGCAAATTACATAATGCTACAACATGAAAAACATCTCATTACCTTACGTCATTGCTATTGGGATTTCGCTTCCCTTGAGTGCGCGAAGATTTTTCAATTAAACAAAAACACCATCGGCCTTGGTACAAATTATTTATTGCGGATACATTGTTTACATTGACTTCGCGAATATGAAAAACAAACTAGGAATGTCTTAGAAAATGACATGAAAACCTTTCAACTATCTTTTGCTTTGGAAGTGAACATAATGGATTATGCGATTACACGATATTGGTGATGATTTCATCAAGGCTCTTATCATCACTCTAAAACTTGAATTGCTAAGGGGGAAAATTGAATTCAGACAATTTTCAAACTTTCTTCAATGAACTAGACGTATAAACAATATTATTTTCTAATTCTTAATAGTTGTGAATTTTTAAATTTTATGTATTATTTGGTTAATTGTTTGGCCCTTTTTTCCTCCTTAGAATAAATCCATCGGGTTTTTTTAATTAGGGGGAGAAATGACAGAGGAAGGTTAGGGTTGGAATCAGGAGAAGAACAGAAGAAGCAGATTTCCTCAAACGATAGGAGAAACGATTATTATTTAACAGAAACGTTAAATAACAAGGTTGTAAAGGTAAATCGTATTCGTGGCAATAGGATGTTTCCGACTGCTGGAATTTCCTGTTGGCTCCGTCAATTCCATTCCCTGAAAGGTACAATAAATCTCATCATTGGGAAAAGTCACCGACGAGGTCATTTTGCAATTCAGTTTTATTGGATCGTGTTAGATTTTTTTTTTTACTTAACCGCCCTTACCGAACAAAGCACGGAACTTCACATACCTTTTTCCTTGTAAACTAATAAAAATTTCAAAATGTTCATTTTTTAAATAATAATTTTACGTACAACATACGAAAATGTTTGAAAGGAGACAAAAAGCAAAATGGCTACACCCATACTGGACCACCCAAATGTCGTGAGGACATGGAAACTTCGCAAGCTATCTCCATAAATTTAAGAAAAGAGGTGGAACCTCACAGTGGAAGATCAGGCTAGCGACCGAGCCAACCGCATGTGTCAAGAGCGTCCGGTTGCGGCCCTTTATGATCCGTTTGCAGCACTGAAGAAGACGCGGAACATAAACTCTTCAGCTGCACCAAATTCAATGCGGAAAGAGAACGTTTGCGAAAGACCATCACCTCAGCAGAATGGCCACCTAATCTCCATAAACTAGCTATCATACCAAATCATTTGCTGCACTTTGCCTCAACTACGCTTAAATGAACAAGTCTCTATTTATTCTGCTTATTAAGCCTTAAATATTGTATTCATTAAATTCACTAATTTCGTGGTCCGCTTGACTAATTAATACATTACAATTAATTAAGGTTTTTAGTTGAGATGAAAAAATGTTAATGGCACGCGCGGGATTCGAACCCACGATCTTCGGCTAGATACGCCGCTGCTCAACCACTTGAGCTATCGTGACCTCGATCCACTCGGACACCAACTTCCCATCTCAACACCACCTTTTGAGTTTCCCTCCTTGAAAAATGGCAAAAAAGAGGGAAACTCAAAAGGTGGTGTTGAGATGGGAAGTTAGTGTCCGAGTGGGTCGAGGTCACGATAGCTCAAGTGGTAGAGCAGCGGCGTATCTAGCCGAAGATCGTGGGTTCGAATCCCGCTCGTGCCTTTTATATAAACCATCTAAGCTAGTTTTGCTTATCTTTGACTTGTGTGGCACAAAGGTGTTCAAAATAATCCAATAACGTTTCCCCAGCTATTTGGTTCATTTTATCCATAGTTGCTTAAATAATACACATTTTTCGTTAATGTTTCTAATAATAAATATACCACATGTAACAACATAAGCGGGGGGTGCGTCAAAGTTCAGTTCTAGCCCCTCATTATTTAACATTTACTTATCATGAATAGAGCAAAATTACACTGGTAGTCAAAACACAATTTGATCTGTTTTTTATAAACTAGCAAGCTTGCAAACTAAGATGAATTTTAATAATTCATTACAATGAATTAAGGTTTTTAGTTGAGATGAAAAAATGAAAAATGGCAAAAAGGCGGGAAAACTCATAAGGTGGGGTTGAGATAGGAAGTTGATGTCCGAGTGGATCGAGGTCACGATAGCTCAAGTGGTAGAGCAGCGGCGTATCTAGCCGAAGATCGTGGGTTCGAATCTCGCTCGTGCCATTAACTTTTTTTCATCTCAACTAAAAGCCTTAATTAACTTAAATATTGTTGTTATTGTTAGAGTTTTACTACCGTTATTTATTTATTGTATAATTAAACATAGGTTTAGGGTTAGGGTTCCGGGCTGTTTTCCTCTTCTTAGTTAGAACATTTTAGATAACATAAATATATATAAAAGAAAATCACGAAAATGCAAATGTGCAAGGGGAAACCAGCAAGGGAAGACCATTTGTTTTCGGTTTTAAAATGAAAATGTCCCCTCGAAAAACGACCAGCCTGAAGGAAAGATCGTTGGGAGGTAAATCCCATTTATTTGAAGTCCCTTAGATTTATAAATTCGATTAACTTAAAGCGTTTGTCCGCCGGTATGGGGTCTTCCTCGGGTACGGCGAGGTGGTGAAAAGGGAAAAAAAGAATAATATACGAAAATTTATCAACATCGATTGATCTAGTAAACAACACAATTCTGTAGCTTTATGATGGTTTAACTGTTAAGTACTTGATCAGCAATCAATTATAGTACGTTTTTGGTTTTAGCACCCCCATCTGTTTCATTAGGTGATTTGATAAACCTTATCTATTTATTAGTCTCATAATATTAAAGATTAATTATCTTAATTACTTAGTTGAAGACCACATATCTTATCCTTTGAACGTGAAGAAGGACTTACCACAAGCGTTCGACCGAGTGTCCTGAGTGTCTCCTATACAAACATATTTATCAGTTTCCTTTTTAAGTGTACAGTAATATATCAATTATATCTAGTGAAGTAATCTCTCCTTTAATTTTTTAAATGAAGCTTTAGAAGCAGATTTGTAAATGGTCCGTTTTTTCTCACTATTTAACCTTGGGCTGACGATGCTCGATGGACTTTCCTGTATGCATGAAAATTATCGTAATCAAAACAACACCGGACATAGAAAAATAGACAAAATTCACCATAATTAGACTTTTTTGGCGAGCGAAAAATCTGACTTATTTAAATACTAGAACACACATCATGAAAGAACCAACAAAAAACAGAAAACAGCGGTACAAGAAAAATCTTTGGAGCGCCACGTAAAAACGATTTCGGTTTTTGTCTATTGTTCATTTTGTCGGACGTAAAACGAGATCGTAAAATAAAATAAAAAAATAAAAAAACAATTAATAATAATAATTTATTTACAAGCAGGGATTTTACAAAATTAACAGTTTAGCTGGTGGATGTCAACTCCGTTTCTGGTATGAGCGATTCCTCACCTAGCGACTCTCTGAAAAAAATACAAAATAAATAAAAATAAAAACGTGAAGTTTTTTCGGAGGATCTACGGACGAGGTCATCACAGAGAAAAACTTCCTTTCGGTTTTCGCCGAGCTTTCGACAGTTTTTATACTGTCATCTTCAGGGCCTGTTTTATTATCATATAAAAAAAAATTAAAAACACGAAAAACAATTTGCATAAAAATTGAAATATCTTACTTAAGATATTTCAATACGTAAGATATTTCAATTTTTGTGCAAATTGTTTTTCATGCTTTTAATTGTTTTTTTTTTATATGATAATAAAACAGGCCCTGAAGATGACAGTATAAAAACTGTCGAAAGCTCGGCGAAAACCGAAAGAAAGTTGTTCTCTGTGTTGACCTCGTCCGTAGATCCTCCGAAAAAACTTCATGTTTCCAGCTGGTCGAAATTATGAAAAATTTGTAATTAAACATAATTTAACTTTATTTATACAATTAAGATTATGTTTTATATAGGTTATGAAGAATATGTGTGTGTATGTTGTTTTATTTGGTATTAACTACCAACAGTGAAGACAGTTGATTATAAATTGAATTTTTATATAGCGTTGTTTTTTTTGCTTAGTAATCTTTAGAATAATCTGGATCTCGGATTGGTCTTGATGAAAAAGCAAATTCAATTGTTACTGCCGAGCCTTCGACCTATTTTAACGTCATCATCAGGGCAATATAATCTTAAATATGTCTACAAATTGACATAATTAAGTTTTCAACAGGCGATTTTAAATTTCTTTGATGAAAGACTCAGTCCCAACATTGCCAAGGAGTGTAACAGTCCTTAAATTAATAATCTTTTCCATTGTGCTCTCACACAACAGAATTGAAATTGCAAATTATATTTTCCTTATTACTCCCTTTGAAAGAGAAGAATAATAGAAGTAGAGTAATTTTGTCATTGTGTAAAAATCTTTGCGTTCTCACACATTGAAATCTAAAGATCTGTCTCGATTAAATTTTGCACATAATAGTTAAAAAGTGCAGAGGAAAAATTAAATTTACAGTTAAATTTATGAGGCTTTGATATAAAAGTTGATAACTGTAATTCTTCTTTTAAAAAATAAAACAATAATGAAACATGTTCAGGAGTGCTAAAAATAACATTTTAATTATAACATTATATCAATAAGCATTCATCGTTCATTAATAAATACTGAAATAATTTTGAAAAATTCAATTTATATATGCCTCGTGGAAATAAAAAAATCACCCTTTTAGAATTTTAAGTAAAAAAAGTAAGTATAATTGAATAAATGTGTGTTATTCAAGTACAAAAAACTTGTATACTTTGTAACTCTACTTAATTGTAACCTGTTGTTTTTTGTTCTTTTACAAAACTATCGTAATGTGTTAAATTTCTTTTCTCACTGAAGATGACGCTTTACACAAAATTTAGTACAGATCAATAAATAATTCTGATTAAATATTCATTGTATTTAGTAGTGTCATTCGTTCATGTTAGACGATTGAAAGTGTCTAATCAAAAATTTAAAATTGGAGAAACTGAATCACGAAATGATTAGTGTTTGAGTTCATCAGAAGGCCAGGTGATAAATTTTCAAACTATGTTCAATTTAAATTAAGAAAATTACAAAAACCTTCTGGACTAAAAACACCCAGCATTGCAACATTAAAATTCAATATCTGACAACAGACCACCTAGAATACATGTACACTACCTAATTTTTCATTTGACAGTTTTATTTTTAGTTCCATGAAGTCATAAATTATTATCTTTAGGTATATTATACTGTATCTATTTTCTTAATAAGTAGGGTAACATTTTTGGGTGAAATCACAATTTGGGAATTGTGTTTTTACTAGATATTCTTTTTGACTATCTCTCATAATTTTTCATGTGAATCAATATATTCTAATAACCTAGTTCAATTCACGCTAATAAATACTTTCAACCGATAAAATTTGTTACAATTACAGACAAAAGAGCATCTATCTTGGTCCGCCTATCCCCGCTGTTTTATTCTGTCCGATGTAATTCTTAATTTCATCTTAATTGGCTTGTTTGTTTTTCATTAATAGTAAAGCCATTCCATTTAGAATTAATATACTTAATGTTTATTTTTCGAAATAATAAACATTAATAATAAAAACAGCAGGATATCGTGAGAGTAGTGGCAGCAGTTGGATCATTGCCTGGTTATTGATGACTTGAACCCTTTAGTTATGCTTAATTATTTTCACTTTACATATTCATTTGGGTTATGTTTGGATGATTTTTCTCCTTTTTCTAAGTTTTCTAGTGATAAATAATAAATTTTCCTTGTTTTTTTTTTCAAAGTTCCTCCAGGTTTTCATCGTGTCCGTACGATTTTCTTGCTCGCTCTGCAGATGGTTCTGATGGTTATTATTTACCATCATAACCATCAAGGTAAATAATAATCACACAACTGAAGAAGTAAAAATTCCGAAACGCGCCAGGCATACTGAGTCAGCAAGTTTATGGGCGGACCAGGATGGTCTGGAACGACCAAATACAGGTTTATCACCCGCAGAGCTCAGAATACAATCTTTCAACAAAAACTATTGACTATCCACTATAAACAGAAAAAAGTTTTCATTCTTCATTCTTCAAAAACTGAAGTGGTGGACCCAGGGACATCGATTGGCTACTAGATCTTTATATAGAACCAAGCCACCCTTTAATCGTGAGTGGTGATTGCCGATCCAGCCCGTCCTTTTTATCCTTTACATATTTTATTTCTATTTGTTTTAAATTAGTTTATTGCGTTTTAATGAACCGCGCACTTGTACAGAGTAAATTGATCTCCACTGACTAGAGTGAAATGGAAAACGCCTGACCTCAGAAAAGTTCATGGGAGTTTTTTCATTAGCAAACAAAACAAAGCTGACCGTTGTAAAAATAGGATATAAATTATTTTTCGATTTAATCGAAAGAATCGTACTTACTCATTAAGTGAGTCGGTGCCGTTTAAAACGCTCCGTCTGCCCTTCCTGGGCTTGTTCGCCCTCCTCTTTTCCCCGGAGACGGAATCGTCGGACCTCAATATCATCTCCAGGTGGAGTACCGCCTCCAGATCGAATGTGGCGATCTGCTTCTCGAAGTCGTATCTTACACTTTTAACCAGAAAAGACACCTCGTCTTCCTTGACGTCGAAGTATTTCATAAGGGTTGCCTCGATGCTGGACTGGAGGATCTTCTGGTTGGACTGTTCGCCGCTGGCGTGGCTCAGCTTCGCCGTCTGGAATTAGCTACAATTATAAACGTTTATCGCTCTGATGTCTCAAACTGGCTTGTTTACCGTAAGCAGCATGGAAATGAGGCAGAAGAAGTGGGACGATTGCATCTTAAACATTCTCCGGACTTGCCACTCTTAAATCTCGGAACGAAATGATAAATCCCTTCCATCCCTTCCCCCTAAGAAAGCAAAATCTCTCCGGCTTAACTATATTTTTTCGAGAGATAAGCGATGACAAATCAAAGATTTGTTATGTTATATCTAATGAGTAATCGAACTGACTAGACTTCTTCAATGAGGATCTCTACATAAATCGGGAATGACTAGCTAGAAACAGTACAAAATCTGTTAGACATATCGTCCACATTTTTCTTAAATTACTGCTAATTTTAAGCAAGAGCTGAGATCTGTGAACACAGTAGAAAACAAAAAATCCGGCATTTGCATCGAACACGTTCACTACAGTTAAAATTAAAAAACAGTAAATAGGCTATGAAGTTTCATGATTTCATGAGATATTGAAAAAATAATTTAATTCCTTCCATTCGTCGTCATTCTCTTCCTAAAACTTCCTTACATCCACATATCCTCCTATAGACCTTTTCCTGCAATGTCCAAAATCCTTGAAAGACTCCTTTCAAAACTTTAAAACCAATTCGGCTTCTGTCCTAATCATTCCACGATCAAACAAGATTTCAGAATTATTGACATTTCCTCCGGTCTAGAGCCGAATATTGCTTCAGTTCCTGGTTGTGACCCCAAGCTTTTTAATACGGTCTGGCACCCAGATATCACCTATAAACTTAAATCCCTTCTTACCCACTTCTAATTACCTTAAACTACTATTTAACTGAACACTTTTTCAGAATGAGGTGAGGGAACGAGAGATATTAGACCAATAGCAACCAACGTTGCACAAGGGAGCATGCTAGGTCCAATCCTATATATTTACACTGTTGACTTTCCTGTACATCCCAACACCATCAATGCGGACGATGTCCACAAAACTTTCTTCTTATCCGAATCTTATCCAAGCTCCAATATCCAAGACCACCTTGATTTTAACTAAGACTGGTGCAGAAAGTGGAGGACAAGACTGGATAAAAGAAATACCTTCTATCTCTTCACACAAAACCTAAGTGACATCAATTAACAGGAGACTTGAATAACTACGAAGACCTATAAGACCAAAGTATGTTTTGACCGTCAAAACTCAACAATTCCACTTTATACCTACATCCAAATCCAGTGGTCCACTATTTCCAATCGAAAGTTCTCACACAAATTGTCAACTCGTTACTAAGTAACTAAGAAATAATGGCCTCGACATTCCTTTTGTCAACTAATCCAATCTTCAAAAGTTCCAGACCAAGGTTTCGATTAATCCTACTGACCAAGTTCTCACTACGCTTTCCCTTCCTGAGAACCCGCCAAGTCGCCAACGACGATGTCCTCGAGACGTCCTCACCCCTCGTACTGAGTGGCAGCATTGGATGGTTTCTCTTAGGATGCTCCTCCGAGTGCAGTGCTGGAATATTTGTAACATGTTCAAGCTACAAATAGATTATTAAAAAAATAAATAAAAAATGCTTTCAGACAGTATATAGATCAAATTTTTTGACAAATCAACACACAACGCAATGATAGTAAAAAGGGGAAAACACATAAGAACGAATCATTCCAAAGAGAACAAATTTTCATTCATTTATATTTTTCTGACACTTTAGAAACTTAAAACCAGGTCATTTTGGTGAATTCTGCAGATTTTGGTTCGTCAATCTGCATGAATAAAAATACAAATCCATCATCGCGTTGGACAACACGGTCCGCTTTATCTCGCCGTGTTTAAAGAAACAATATCATACTAATTCTAAAACATTATCCAGCATCAATGGTTCTTCGGCTTGGATTATTGAAAATATCCCTGTACATCTTAACGCCCTGTCATCGCGGTCCGCCTATTCTCGCTGTGTTTAAAAAAAGTGGTAAGTGCATAGATCTAGTTCTAAGACATTTTTCAGCACCCAACACAATAGCGTTTTTCAAAAATATTTGGGAGCTTTAACAAATTTTTTGTCTATTGTGGAATCCCCATGATTAAGTCCGTACCGGGGAAAGTGCGCTTTTCCCACAAAATTAAGCACTTTCTTCGGTGCTTCTTTGTGCACTCTCTTGGTGCAAGAATAGGTCACATTTGTGGACAAAATCGGCATGTTTATGTTTCGGCTTTGCTCATCTTATTTACATTGAATTTAAAAGAACAGCGGCCGGTATAGAGGCTTTTAATTTTCCTCAGATTTGCTGAAAGAGCATGGTTAAATTAATTTTAAATTTCAAAAAATGTGTACCTGTTTTAACTTTTTTTCCAACTTTAAAACAAGATATTTTCATTCATTGCTGCATTTTTTGGCTCGTCGGCCTACCGGATTAAAAATATGATCAAGTGAAAACTATCGATCCAATTCTAAGATATTTTTCAGAACTACACCCGAAGACAAGCAAGGAAAACGAATTTTTCCAGAGATGTTATTTGGCTTTTGCTGTTCCAAAATGTTTACCACCTTAAAAATATGTCATTTTGGTACATTCTGTTTTGAACCAAGAATAGTATGCTTGCACTTCAAAGTTCCAGTCATTATGGTCCGCCAATTCTCGCCGTGTTCGATCAAGACTCTTTTTGCAATACGCATTGGTTTTACACTACTTTTTAATCAGAGAGATGATGACGGAAAAGCAAGATTTCAGAGAAAAACACATAGATATAAATTTTCAAACGATTTAGTTCATTAGGCCAGATTTAATTAATTCCTTAAATATGGGAATTAATTATGAACGTCATAAAATAATTCGCCAATAAAAATTGCTGATAAATTTTCATGATGTTTTACTTGCCGGGTATAATTATCACTGACATAGTTTTACTCAAATGATTGTAAAACTGTTCAAGAATTAATTATTGTGTTGTGACCCTAATATGCAAAATTTTTTAATATCTTGAAGTAGATTCACTAACTTCGTGATCCGCTTGACCAATTAATATATTACAATTAATTAAGGTTTTTAGTTGAGATAAAAAAGTCAATGGCAGGAGCGAGATTCGAACCCACGATCTTCGGCTTGATACGGCTGCTCTACCACTTGAGCTATCGTGACCTCGATCCACTCGGAAACCAACTTCCTATCTCAACCACACCTTTTGAATTTTCCCTCCTTTTTGCCATTTTGGAGAGTGGTAGAGCAGCGGCGTATCAAGCCAAAGATCGTGGGTTCGAATCCCGCTCGTGCCATTGACTTTTTTATCTCAACTAAAAACCTTAATTAATTGTTATCTTGAAGTAGATTGAGCTAACATAAGACTCTTGAGATGTAGTTACAACATAGTTTTGTCGTATGGACACGTAGTGGTTCACAACACATTTCGTAGTACACATCAGTAGTACATCATAGGTAAATGCACCTGGGGTCTGCATACATAGATAAAATACAATTTGTTTAATGAAGAATCTGAGAACCTCATTGAATTTGTTATTCTCGTTGACTTTTTTTATGTGAGGTTTGATGTTGTTAGTGATAATCTGGGACCAAAGTACACGGAGTTTATGTGAGTTTCTTTCTCCAGAGTACTTTGAGTAAGTAGGTTGGAACTCGTTTGGATTTTGACTTTTCGCCATCTGAATTTTGCCAATATATCAGATCTTCCTTATTGCACACCCCCACCCTTAATATTCTTTCAAATCAGAAAATAGTATTGGGCTCAATAGAGCTCCTTGTTTGACTCCAAAATTTACTGAAAATTCCTCAATTTTGCCCTGGTTACATCACACAACTTGTTTTAGAGGATAAACGACGTTTCCTCTGCAAATTTGATTTCAGTGCCAAAGATTGCTGATTTTTAGGCTAACGACCAATGTTGTTCATTTTTAAAATATGTTTTAGATTCAATAAGCCGATTTTTTAAATTTTTATTGTTATTATTTAACAACGTTGAACAGTTTTTAAACAATATATTTTTATTTAGGATGATTTTTCTTACCCTTCCGTGATGACGTTGCACATAAGGAAAATTTCCAGCTCACATGTCCTTTTTTGTTCAATGTATTCATAGATTAAAAATACATATACATATATACTTGACGATGGATGTTTGTATTTGTTAAAGTTGATTTTTCGTTTTACACTTCGTAATTTGTGACGTCTTGTCAGCCAGTAGGGGAATTTCCCTCGACGCATGTCCTCGTTTCTCAGCTTTTTTATCTAGATGGACGAAAATTGTCGTCTTTTGTAGTTTCCGGTGACGAACAGTTGTTAAATTTTTTGAAATTTTATTCATACCTTCTATCAGATCGTAGACTTTCCTTGCTTTCCTCTCCATAAATAGTATTTTCCATCATAATATATTGACATTTTATTTAAGTCTTCCATGAGAATATATTATATGTCACTTATCAGACTTCCATCTATCAATGTTTGTAAAAACAAATCTGAACACGTAGTTAACTTTAAAAGATTCAACGATCCTAATTTCACCCTTGATAAAATTAAATAAAGCGTTAAACCTATAAACAGAATAATTGCTAAAAATTTAGGGTGAAATTGAATAAAATCACCAAAATATACAGATCATTTATTATTTTAACACAACAATAATATTATTTAGCTCAAAAATTAAGAAAAACATTTCTTTATCTTTATTGAGATCATCTTCAGCGCCTGGGATTTATAAACATATTGTTTAAATTTTACAAATACATGTAGGATGTGAAAATTGTGATTTATACAATGCTAGAAAATTTTAATTTTTAAAAAATAAATAAAAAATTTAATAAAATTCTAGCATTTTATAAATTCATTTTTTAATCTAAAATTTTCTAGCATTGTATAAATTCATTTTATTTTTTTTTTTAAATCCAAAATTTCTAGCATTGTATAAATTCATTTTTTCACATCCTACATGTATTTGTACAATTTAAACAATGTTTATATATCCCAGGCCCTGAAGATGATTTCAATAAAGATCGAAACGTTGGCACAATAAAGAAAATGTTTTTCTAAAACCTACATCACACCAGACCGCATCACGATCTCCGAATAATCATTGACTAACGGTCACTAAACACCACACATTTTTTTAAAAGAAATATGATGGATTTTTTAACGAGGTTTCGCAACAGCAGAGGTTTTATCAGCCCTCGAGGTGCCGGTGTTTTTGAAAAAAAAACAAAAAACATTAGGAAATATGTCGGGTTTGAATTCAGAGTCGCTGGATTCGAACCCGGGACCTTTACCTTACAGTGCTGAACGCCGTGCCAACAACTAAAGCGTTGCGGCCACCGACGCCCCCCATAGATGTATAAGCTGATATTGGCCTTTTAAAAGATTAAATGTGGAATTTTTTATATAATTAAAAGATCGATAAATATATAATATCCTAAATAAGACATTGTCATTCACAAAAGCGCAGACAATGATGCTGGGGTCAAATTGCGGAATATTTCGCTTCGTCGTTTTCAGATGACTACCTTCTTGGACCTGAAAAATTTTACTATGATTATTTAATATTATTTCAAATCAGTCTATTAAAACATTATGTTTTGGATTTAGGCTTAAATTAAAAAGTTTCCATCTTGCTTACTGGGAAAAAAGTGACGGGTGTTATCGGCCCTTAAGACTTGTACGCTTTGGTCTGGTCGCTACGATTAAAAATAAATTACAACAAAATATTTGCTAATTTTAATAAATATTTAATGGCTTAATTACATTCAAATTTGTTTATTCTCCCGGTAGGATAACCTGCTGGCGAATAGGTGCCACTTTTAGTAGTAAATCTACTACAGCCATAGCAACGATCAAACATTTCAGTATCCCCTTTTTTGATATTATTTGTTGCAATTAGTTCCACCGAGAAAGCAAGATGGTAATTAAAGAGTCCAACTACGACAACCCAAGCAAGTAAGTTTTCTCGACTTAATTTTTCCTCGCGGAAAAAGTTTTCAATGACGAAAAAAAATTTCAAAACGATTTTTTTATTTAAAAAAAAGGTAAACCTTAATAAATTGTTTAACAGCTGGAACAAATCGAAGAAAGAGGTTTTCGTTTGAAAAATAAACATTTTTTATTGGTTTAAAAATATTGCTACTTCTTGCACAATAATGTTCGTATCTATTGACTTTAGGACGTACTTTGTATTAAATAATTCTGTGCACCACCTATTTGGACGGAAAACGTTTTTCCAGACCAAAACCACACAGAATATTTTTATTAAGTAATTAAAAACAGCCGGATATCGGGGCATTTCTCAGGTCTCACATAGTGCCGGTAGTTTGATCATTAATCTGCCCGCTTGTTATTGACGATTAAAGCCATTCAGTTACGTTTTCTTTCGTTGAATATATTAACTTAATATATTGTTGTATTAGTTTTTATCGTCTTATACGACTTCTAGTGCGTCTTAAAACAGTAAAGAGGATTTTATGCCTCATTAAAAACTCCGTATTCTTTTTTCGACGTGTTTATACGATTTTCTTGCTCGTTGATTTTATTGATAATAAACTTATAAAAAAAAATTATAAATGAAAAGTTTATAGCATAAACCGCTGAAGATGAAAAAATTCTGAAAGGAACCAAAACCGACCAAAATAGCGATAATTGACAGGAAAGGAAATCACAGTGCAGACTTCAGCAGGAAATCTCTCAAAAATAATTGTTACCTTTCTACATAAAAATCGTTGTAATGTTGAGAATTACTTCTGCAAAATAATAATAAAATAAAATAAACATTCTCAGTCAAAACTTCTTGGGGGGGGGGAGGCTTTGAACTGATATTTTATTAATTTATGATATATTAATTTATTTTTTGCTCTTCAGTACTTACTGATACTCACAATTAGCTAGAATTTGATTAATTCATAGTTTGGTTGTATAATTGATAAAGAATCCCTACATTGTAACAGATCGTTATTGTTCTATGATCAAAATGAGGTAATATGTGAAATGTTGAGTAGCCCAGGTCAGCGAGGCAATGAACTCGATATAGCTGTACGTGGTCCGCGTATTCTCGCTAGTTTTTCTTCGCATTAAATTAGACGAATTGGTCAAACTGCATACAATTGTTTTCACTTTTCTGGAATTTTTTTTGACAAAATGAAGTAGAATTTTTATAGCGTTTACATTTTCGTAACTTTATTAAAAGGTAAAGACTGAAGGCATAATATTGAGAAGTTTAGATTGCTTTAAATGTCTCTCATCGTGGTACTTTTTTGATAATTTTGTATATGTACATACTAGCTTCAAAAATATTTTCAAATCGTGACTTGTCCTCCAGTTTATTTTTAACTTTAGTTACATAAACGCAAAAACTTGGGCTGCATTTAAGTTCAACGATTTTTTCTAGAATGACGACCGAATCCCTGAGGAAGCTGTGCAAAGAGCACAAGCTGTACACGACGCCGAATCTGAACGACGTCCTCTATCTTCATTACCAAGGTAATTGTCAATAAATCGAGTTAATTCAGCCCCCGGGCTCAATCTGACATTGGCCGGCTTCCTATTTGTACTTTCTAGACTTTAAAGCGTGCCCTTTCGATGCAGGCTTTTTAAAATCTTCTTAACTCCCATTCTTACAAGCCTCTTGAAAAAGTTGTTTTTAAATCCATTCATGATTAAGTATGGAATAAAATAAATGTGAAACCACTGAGAAAATTATAAACTATGATTAGTTTATTAAATTTTTTGTTTATACTCAAGTTTCGCTACATACCAAAATCATACTCGCTCACACACAACAGAAACACAGATGCGGACGTACAGACAGTCATTGAATAAGATAGATAGATAGATAGATAGATAGATAGATAGAGAGAGAGAGAGAAAGAGAGAGAGGGGGAAAATGGAAAGGAGGGAGAAAGAAATGGAAAGAAGGCGAGAGAGATGAAATAGAGAGTGAGAAGAGAGAGATAGAAAGAAAGAGAGAATCAGAAAGAGTGAGGGAAAAGAAGAAAGATAAAAAGGAGGAAAAAGAGATGGAACGAAGAAGAAAGATAAAAAGGAGGGAAAAGAGATGAAAAGAAGATGATAGAGCGAGAAATGGAAAGAAAAAGAGAGAGTGAGAGATGGAAAGGAGGGAGAAAGAGTTGAAAACAAGGAGAGGGAGAGAGAAAGAAAAATGAAAAAGAAGAGATGGAGGGGGATTGGGAGAAATGGAAATAGAAAGAGTTGGAAAGAAGGGAGAAAAAGTTGGAAAGAAGGAAAGAGATAGAGGGTGAAAATGAGAGAGTGAGAGTGAAAGAGACAAAAATGGAAAGCAAAGGGAGGAAGGGTGAGATAGAAAAGAGAAAAAACAAAATGGGAAGGAGAGAGAGTGAGGGTGAAAAGATGAGGAGAGAGGTGGAAAGAACAGAGAGATAGAGAGTGAACAAGTGAGTGTCAAAGAGAGAGGAATAGAAAGGAAAGAGAGTGATGGAAATAAGGAGAGAGATAGAGAGTGAACAAGAGAGATGAAAGAGAGAGAGAGAGAGAGAGAGAGAGAGAGAGAGAGAGCGTGTGTGTGAAAAGAAGAAGGGAGACAGATGAAAAGAACAGAGAGATAGAGAGTGAGTGTCAAAGAGAGAGAAATAGAAAGGAAAAAGAGTTGAGATGGAAATAAGGAGAGAGATAGAGAGTGAAAAGAGAGAGAGAGAGGGTGAGAGAGAGAGAGAGAGAGAGAGAGAGAGCGTGTGTGTGAAAAGAAGAAGGGAGACAGATGGAAAGAACAGAGAGATAGAAAGTGAGTGAAACGAGAGAGAAATGGCAAGGAGAAAGGTGAAATGGAAAAGGGAGAGAGAGAAAGAGACAGGGACAGAGAGAGAGGGGGGGGAGAATATTGAATTGGATATAACTGTGCTAAATGATTTTACAACATTTTACTATAAATAAATAAATAAAATATAAAACTATTTTACAATATTATAGGTTTTACAAAGATAGAAAATCTTGATGAGTACACTGGACTTAAGAGCCTTTGGCTTGCTCACAATGCTTTGAGCAAAATTGAGAATTTAGAAAACCAGACTGCGCTCAAGTGTCTCTACCTGCAAAACAACATAATCAGGAATATTGAAAACCTAGAAGGAATGAGGCTGCTTGATTCAATAACCCTGTGTCACAATTTCATCCCCAAGCTTGGTGGCTTAGGTAATATGGTATTTTTAAATATGCAGAGCTTGAAACTAAAAATATGTAATATTTTCAGATTGCTGTCCTTTTTTAAACACGCTGAACATAAGCCACAATAAATTGCAGAGCTATGAGGATGTAGAGCATTTAATATTGTGTAAAAAACTTTCTGTGCTTGATCTTTCACACAATCTATTGGATGACCCAAAAATTTTAGAGGTAGGCTGCTGTTTTTTCTGAAATGAATTAAAGAATAATAATTAAATCGATTGTTTAGATTTTTGGCGCAATGAAAGAATTGCGTGTCTTGAACTTAATGGGAAATCCGGTGATATCGAAAATAAGGAACTACAGAAAAACAATGACTTGTACTTGTGTATGTAAATTGTATAGCTATAACCAAAATCAGACTTACAAATTATTTTGTTTTTAATACAGAAAAACTTGACTTACCTTGATGATCGTCCGATTTTTGAGCACGACCGCCTGGCTGCTGAGGCCTGGTAAATGTTTACTTTTTACTTTCACATAACTTCATGTAATATTTTTGACTGTTTTGAAGGTTGGTTGGCGGATATGAAGCTGAACAGGAAGCAAGAAAAAAATGGAGGGATGCAGAACAGAAGAAAATAAGGGACAGTGTTTATGGTAAATTTATTAATTATTTACATTAAAAGTATTTGTGACTTTAATTTTAAATGTCACCTCATTAGACCGTATTAAATAAAATCTGAATTTTGATCATTACATATAGTCTTTTTGTGTTTTTAATGAATTGTTATGATTTCCAGCCTTATTATCCTTAAGAAAGAAGAGTAAAAAATCCACTGAAGAACTTGAAAAGGACATTGAAAATGGAGAAATTGTAAATATTAGCATTTATATAGTTGAAATGTTTTTTTACAAGCTTGATTCGCTTTCAGATAAATCCCGAACTTCAAGAATTTGAAGACTTTATAGATAAAAACAGGAAAAAGATGGAAGAAGACATAGACTCTGAAGAGGAAAAGAGGTTAAAGAGGCTAGAAAAAGAGCGAGCAGAAGAACTGAAAAAATATGGTACGAAGGAAGATGAAATACCCTTGCTTGAATCCGAGAACAGCTGTTCTGAAAGTGAAGATGAACACTGTGACATCTGTGAAGAATTAGAAAGCAAGCCTTGTCAAGAAAATAAAACAGACTCCGTTAACGAAGAGCCAACTCAGAAAAAGCATCCAGTTTTCGAGGGGACACAGAGGGATTTTTCAGAAAACCCAGCAGCAAAAGAAGCTTGGTCGGCTTATGAACAGGCACGAGATGAAGCGATCAAATATTTTGAAAGCGAAGAAAATAAAGAAAAGGGAATCGAGCATATACTGGAAAAGGCTAAATCCGATGCTAAAAAGTTTGTGCAGAATATTAATGGAAATAATACACAAGGCGACGAATCAGGTATTTTATCGGAAAAAGAGACACTTCGTGAACTATTACCATCTCAAAGCAAAGATGGTGATACACCAAGTAAATCTTTGATTCAAGAAATGCCAATTTCACCGAATCTAGATAAAGAATCACCATTAAAAGAAACTAAGCCATTGATAGAAGAATTACCACCTGAAAACAAAATAGATGTTCCTCTTGAAACAGAGAAACCATTGATTGAAGAGCTTTCTGGAGAGGATGTTAAAGAACAGACAAATAAACCAATACAAGAACTGTTTCCAGAAAGTCAAAATGTACAGTTTAATGCTTCTACACAACAGAAACCACTGATTGAAGAGCTGCCCTCCGATCAGCAAGGTTTGAAGTTTGATAGCATTCAAGCAGGAAAAACTAAACCATTGATTGAAGAGCTGCCTTCTGAAGAGCAAAGTTTGGAGTATATTAGCATTCCATCAGAAAAAAATAAGCCATTGATAGAAGAGCTTCCATCTGAAAAGCAAAGTTTGAAGTATGTTAGCATTCCATCAGAAAAAAATAAGCCATTGATAGAAGAGCTTTAGCATTCCATCAGAAAAAAATAAGCCATTGATAGAAGAGCTTCCATCTGAAAAGCAAAGTTTGGAGTTTAGCAGCACACAAACAAAATCACTGATTGAAGAGCTGCCTTCTGAAGAGCATAGTTTGGAGTATGTTAGCATTTCATCAGAAAAAAATAAACCATTGTTAGAAGAGCTTCCATCTGAAAACCAAAGTTTGGAATTTAGCAGCATCCAAACAGAAAAAACAAAACCATTGATTGAAGAGCTGCCTTCTGAAGAGCAAAGTTTGAATTTTAGTAGCATTCAAGCAGAAAAAACAAAACCTTTGATTGAAGAAAACATACTGCAAGGGCAACAGAAACTGTTAATTGGGGAACAGCTCGCTGAAGAGCAAATCTTAGAGTTTGGTTGCATTCAGACTGAAAAAAAGAAGCCATTGATAGAAGAATTACCTTCAGAAGGGGAGTACATGGAATCGGATGTTTTTAAACAGAAACAAAAACCATTGATTGAAGAATTACCTTCTGAAGAGCAGAGTATGGAGTTTGATGGCGTTGTTTTACAAAAACAGATACCAGTAATTGAAGTGTTGCCTTCTGAAGAGCAGGCAGAGTTTGATATGAATAAAACAATGGAAACTCCAGAAAAGCATAGTTTTGATAATGTGGAAGAAAATAACATAAAAGGATTGGATGAGTCAAATCAAATTGAAATAAGTGCAGTTAAAAAAATGCCACTCATAGAAGATATAACGGATGAAATAAAGATCACAATCCCAAAAGAATCCGAGTCTAAATTTAAAGATACTTTTGAAAAAGAATGTAAAAAGGAAGCAGAATGCATAATACAATATCAGGACGAGCATGCCAATGATAAATCAGAATGTATGATAAAGGACAGATTTGACTTACAAAATAGATTGAAGAAATTAGGTCTGGTTCCAGAAAATGAAGAAATGTCGGCTGTCCTAGAAACAAAGAATGACTCAGATGACGATTTCTGGGATCTCGAGGAGGAAATAGTCGCTCAGCAGCTTAATAAGCTAAGAAGAAAAATAGATATCGATGATATCAAGACGAACAAACCAGCAGTAGCTAATGAGTCTGGGGATATTGATGGAATAGTGCAAAATGAAGATTTATTAGTAGAAAGTAAACCAAGCCCCATGACATTAGAATTGAATTCAATTAAAAATGTACTATCGAGACCTGTCAAATCCAGGGGCCTCAGAAATATAATAGATTCTAGAAGATTATCCATAATTGACGAATCAAATCTTGAAAGTGTTCAAATGGAACAAAATGATGATTCAGAAGAAAGTATCCACAAAGTGCCAGAACAAAAAGTAGAACCTTGTAACAATGAATATATAAAAAATGAAGGTATTGATACATCACAAGACATAAACAAATCAGAGAAAAACATAAGTAGTGAAAACGAGAAGATTATGGATAAGGTAACAAACTCACAAACAGATTGTAATAATGAATCACATAAGATTAAATCATCCCTAACAGATGACAAAACATTGACAGATACACCTAATGATAATAAATTAAATAATCCTACTAGCGGCACTATTGATATTTTAGGTAGTAACACGAACTCTGAATGTTTGTATGATTCAAGGGATGGGGTAAAATCTGATTCAATTAAAGAAAGTTCTGATGAACTCACAAGTGAGCATGTTCAAAATGCGATCAATGAACCCAAAATTCAACACAACTTAATCCAAAATGAGTCAACAGTTTTGTCCGAACTTGATGACAATTATCAAGCTACGGCCGAACCGATAAGTTTCATATTTGGCCAAAGCAGAAAAGATTCTTCGTTTGAACAACCCCAGTTCAAAATTATCGACCAAATTGACCAACCTGCAACAGAGACTATTCATCTAAGCGACAGTGATTCAGAAACAGAAGAACTCGCAACAGTCGAAAAGAAGGAAAATAAAGAAGAAATAAAGAAAAAAGTTCAGATACCTCTCATAGTAGAATTAGACAACGAAGAATTCCAACTGGCACAAGAATTAGATGATCAGGATAGTGAAAATTACTCCACACCTGATCAGGGTAGTGAAGATGAAGGGATAGTGAAATATAAAAATACCTCTATACAACTCAGTGTAGCTATAGAAGACCAAAAATTACAAAAATAAAATGTCATGCATCTTAAAAATTTTATTTAGTGTAATAAAAAGTAGATTAATAAAAGTAAATTAATTAATACTTTAACTTGATGAACTGAATATTTTTGTCCCGAAACAAAAAAATTACTGTACATATCTAGAAGTCAATGTGGTCCTTTATTTAACCCAGCAAATACTACTGTTTTTTTATTATATATACTATAGTTTAATAATAAGTTTTTAAGTTTATATTAATATCAGATAATATGAGCAAAAGTATATACATTTAACACAAGTATAGTACAATATGCAGGACGTCGGTGGCCTGCAGCTGGGCGATGACTGTGGAAGGTCGAAAACTCCCGGACAGTAAAAGAAGCATTGGATGAGAGTGAGGTGAGCGGCTCAAGCCCCACCGGAGGAAACTGGAGCCGAGAATTGAGTACGATGGTGAAAATCAGGATTTTATTTATTTTTTATAAGAGAAATTTTGTTTAGTTTAGCAAGATATGTATTATTTTATTATATATTTTTATGTCAGTTGGTCAACAAGGATTTAATTTTTAGGTTGCGAAAGTGTAATTTTTTCTGCTTATTTAAAAAAAAAAATTGCTGAGATATTCCAGTTCAGACTTCAGAGTATCTCGCCAAAATAAGCATGACAAGAGGATTAAGTAGATTCCTCATCATCTTGTATTAATTACACCATGTAAAGCCTGTCTTAGACCTAAGATCTAAGAAAATGAGGCAGCAAAACCAGCATCCCTCCAAGTTCTAAAAACGTAGCTTAGTAAGTGTATAGCAAAGTAGACAACTTTTAAAATACAGTGTAATCATCCTAGACAAGGGTTGAGTTGGCCAGTTGTCCTAAAGTACTTTTCTGTCATCCTGGCCCTCCCTAATGCTTCAGTGAAACATATTCCCTGGGATTCCATCCAAGTCTGAAGTCATTCATTCGGCTGTAAGAGTTCATATAATATAAAAGTTCTAAATTATTTATCACATTATTGGTAAGTACTAAATAATAATAAAAAAAAGCATAGGGTAAAGAATAAGGATCTAATTTTAAATGTTGGGCTTTGAAAGCCAAAAAAACAGACAATTAAATTTGGATTTGTTTATTTACACATGGCTTTTAACACTGAACTTGTTTCAGTTAAACATTTCTCTTTGTTTCTTGTTGTTTCCATTTGCTTTCATAACAAAATAAATAAATAAAAACAAGTGGACAGGAACTACATACTACCACACATTACAGCAAAGTACATAAAGATATATCAAAACACAGTTGACTTCTTTTATCCTTTAAAAAATTCTTTACCTTAGTTTGAACATTTTTCCGGCATAGAAAAGAGAAATAGTACAACCAAAATTCTGTGCTGATGAAGCAGTGTCTCCAAATAAAATTTTACAAAGTAACAACAAACAAATTTTCAACACAGATATGACGATAACAAAAGTAAACGGGAACAATAAAAACATTCTGCTGGTAAAAAACTGATATCCAGCATCATTACAAAGATATGTATAATAATAGTTAGTAACATTAACTTATATAATGGGTACAAATAAAAAAAGTATAAATGAGTAAAACTTGGCACAATTTGAATAACACACTAAACATGGTAAACTTGCCAAAACACTTACAATAAAAAAAGACGATTGATTTTGTAAAATTAATAATAGTAGTTATTAAGCTCATTGGTGTCAAGTATACAATTCATAGGAAATTTGTGTGGAAGTTAAAATTTGAATAAATGTGCGTTAATAAACATTTCTGCTAATTCCCACATAATTTTTGTTTTAGGGATGTCTTTTTTTTTAAATCCCTATAAAAATAACTCCCCTCCCCGCTCTAAGGTCGGCCATTAGTAAAAAAGAATTGGGAATTCAAAACATGTTCTTTTTTCGGTGTCTGCGACACACGCTTTCAGTCTTTTTAAAAAAATTTCATCATAACTGTCCTCATATCATGATTTTCATAAGTGAATTTCACTGAGTAAAAAAAAAGAAGAAAGGCATATACATTATGTAAGGTCATATTATAAAACAGCCTTATCTTTCAATTGTTTTCCTTGAATTTTTAAAAAATAATAAATTGAAATCCTCTCGGTAGAAAATAAATCGAGATGAAGGACTGCTTACAAATAGAGTAATTGGGCCTCTAAGATGTAAAAACAGGTGAACTAAAAATAAATCAGGCTGCTTTATTAAGAATATCGTACAAGATGATTCCAAAACATGAACTTCATTTCATCATGTTTTTTTTAATATAAAAATCTATTTTTTAGAGCACACCACAGCCTGAGAATAATCGAAAGTAGTACAATATAAAAATATATCCATTTAGCACCATTTTATTATACTGTTTGAGCTACTAATCTACTTGTTCTTACTTTCTAATAATTTAAACAAATAAAAATAGATTTTCAGAATTGACGACTGTCCCGATGGAACGTTTCTAAAATGAAGAGCAACCCAATTCTCATATATAACCTTACATTTATTTTAACGAACAACAAAATTTAAACGCAAAATTTAAAAATTAAAGCCACATCACTATTTTGACTATAAATAACTGTAAATGAACAATAATAATAAAAATACCCTCTTTTTCCTTAATATATCTTTCACAATTATTTTGAAATTATACAAAATTATACATTAATATATATTTGATTTTTATATACAAAAGTTTAATCTTTTATAATATTAAATATTAAGAATTAATTAAAAAGATTAGTAAATAATTTTCTCTTCTAGGGCACCCGTCTGACTTTATAATCTAACCCATGAAAACTTTTTTTTTCAATTAATTCCAAATACTATTTTTAATATTACAATTTTAAATTATTCAATATGGATATAAAATTAATATAAATACTATATACAACTCTCTATTGGTTTTTTTTGCGCTTTCTTTCTTTCTTTTTTTGGGGTTTAACATGAAAGTTATGCCGTGTCTTCGGTATTAACGTTGAGCATATATTTTTTCATATGTCCTCAATTTCCTGCACACAGAAATTCCAAAATTATTACATAATTGAAATATCAATGTGAAGTAGTGATTGTGAGTCGTGCAAGGAATGAAGTGCATTTCAGGCAAAAATAAACTGTTACGAGACACTAAATTATTATAAACAATAATATATGGCAAACCAAAAAAATAAATAAAATTAAGTGAAGACACAGCATTAACTTCTGATTAAAATACAAACACTAATAAAGCTACAGATGAAATATTACAAAATTATCTACATCTAGTACACACTATCATGCACTAACACCAAAAACAAAAAAAACCCAAATTAATGAAAATGAAAATGTTCATGCAATCTAAAAGAATTGTTATTTGTCACTTCTTTTTCCTTACTCGCAACTATTGAAAAATAATAGTCAAGCGCATTAAGCTACATAACATCTACAAAAAACTCACACGGGTTGCCCATAGCTATCCTAAAAGATTGCCTACTTCCACTGATATCGGTGTTCGCCGGCTGGGGATCGACCTGCAACGGCGTGGCTGTCGCTGCTGAAGAGCCACTCGACCTCGAGTTGCTTCGAACCTGTGTCGCCCTGTCGCTCCCTGAGCTCTTTTGACCTCCACTGCCCCCATTATTCTTCACCCTGGACCCTCCGCTACCATTCGAACTTCCTATAATATTTTACATTACCTTAATTTTCCACCTACCTGTATGTTTCAAATATTTTGGACATGTTGAAGGTTTCTTATCATTTTGTTTTCAGTTTGCCTTGATGAGATTTTAAAAAAATCAAGAAAGATTTAAAATTATTTCAAGCCTGATTTCTTAATAATAATTCGATTGGGTTAGTTTTACATTAAGCCTGTCCTTTGGTTTAGTCTAAGCGCATATATGATTTATGGATTTTTTTTAAAACAACCATGTCTGTATTATGTTTTAGTCTGTATAAAACAAACATCTGTACTATTCTATGACCTTTTCTTTCCATGCTTTCAAACAAATAGATTAAAACTCTTCTTCATGATTTAAAATTTTCAAGGTTGCAGAATTAACTGTCCTCTAAACTGTATACCACATGCAAAGATATACACATTTTTCATGTAAAAATTGATCTGTAGGCATGCATTCGATGTTTAAATTTGGTAACATTGGTAATTTGGTGATTCTCTAGATTTGATCAACAAGTTTTAAGCAATAAATAAAATTTGTTTATCAAATAACTAACAAGAAAAGGCTATGGTAGTGGAGTCACCAGTTTCAATTAAACTTTGTTTTGGTGATACTAGGTCGAAAAACATTAGAACATGCCCTAGGGGGTTTCATCCAATCGATTTCAGGAGCCAAAAAAACAAAAATTTAGGTGGAAAAATGATCGAAAATTGTGTTCACAAAGGTGCCATTGCTCACAGCTTTTTTTCCCCAAGTTAGTTTTCGGGCCGGCAAAGTACTTTGGTCATCACCAGCCCTCTCTTCTTCAGCTTTGCATTTTCTTATCTTTCTCGAGTTCCAGCCTACTAATTTCTTTTACTAATTCTCCTGTCAAGTTGTGTCTTTTATAACGGTAACCAACAATTCTCTCTTTTCTTTATCCTACTGCTAGGCTCTCCGTATCTCAGAGCCTTGTCAATTGTGGATAAAATAACACAAATACCAAACAAAATCACACAGAAACATAAAAACACAATAGTCTGGTTACCATTCACACTACTTGAGAGTACTCGATATTCCTCGGGGAAATTGGGAATAAGCTCCCTCCATTCAAGCTAATAAATTACATTCACACATTAATTCACACTAGCCCAGAATAATCTTTATTACTTGAGATAATTGGGAAAACCCTCTCACGCAAATAAATACATACATTCCAATAAATAACATATCACACATATGAAGGTACAAAAATCTATATATGGTTATAAATATTTATGGCCCTGAGATAATTGGATCAGCAATGTGTGCCTGCTGCCTTGCCTGGCCTATGCACAACCAGATGAGTATGACCTTTTTCCCTTCTAGACCCATATTCTGCAGGCCAGGGACTGATTTCTTTTGTAAATTTATATAATTTAGATGTTTCTTTTCTCCAGCAGAAGCTACAGTAATCTTTATAACATTAGCAATTGTTTTTTGTAAATCCACTGAAGTACAGAGTGGGTGCCAGTAAGAAAGAAATCTAAAGAATCAACGAAGTAAAAAATCTAAATTTGTAATTTTTTTTAATTAACAATTTTTTAAATTGACTTTTAGTCTTTTACAGAGCCAGAATACACCACAATATTTAACATTTTATTACAGTCTTCCTGGGTATAATTTTGCTAAACCCCTATACACACGTCTAATATTTTTTCCCTAAAATTTCATTCAAATTGAGAGCCTTGTGAACAGTGACAGCTTTGTGAATGCAATTTTTGGTCATTTTTGAACTCACGGACACATGTCTATTATTTTTTCATATACTATCGCCAAAAAAGTTGCACTGAAGTTGTTAACAATACTGAATTAAACCGTAATGGCACATTTTGAAATAACCAATCTCCCACCCAAAAAATTCTTTTCATTTTGTTCTCCTTCTTTATTTATTTCATTATGGATTTTTTTTTTTTTTTTTTTACTAGGACAATTTTTGAAGGTAAGTGATAAGCTAAAGATAATATTTTGTGTTGCGTTTCAGCAACCAGTGTCATAACAATGTATTTTTATTTCTTATTAAAATTTTATTAAAATAAGTACATGGTTATAGCACAGGATACCAGAACAACATAAAAACTACCATATAAAACTGGCCTAATAAAAATAATAGAAATTAAAATAAATAAAATACAACAATCAATGATCAATTATAGAGAATACCCATCAATAAACTGTTAAAACAAATTAATTAAATAAAAAGTACAATATAAGAATTGCACTCCAATGTTTGTGTGAAATAAAGAGCGTAAAATCTAAAAAAACTAACTGTGCATAATAATGCATTGATTTTAAAGACTAATAAGTAAACATGTAACAAACACTTTTTAAAGATCGTGTTTCTTGGCATATGGACAGAAGAGAAAGAAAACTCACCAGAACCTCCACTGTGAACGCTTTCTTCAACATGAGGTAAAAGAGGTGGCGGAGGTGGAGCGTATCCATAAATTGAGGGCTCGTTTGTGTAACATTGCGAGTACGGCAGAGGTGTGTATGGTAAGAATGTCGTCGCATATGGATGCGGCGCTCCACCTGGCGGAGGCCAGTGAAGTGGCCCTCCGCTTGGAGGCGGTAAAGGTCCAACCGTGTCGTGATCACCGTTTGCCATATCGTCAATTTTCAGTGTTCCAAATTCTTTAATCAAAACAAAAACTTAAAAATAAATGATGAATTTCTTTTTATTTTAGTTTTAAATAAGCGGCAGCGCACCTGCTGATAGAAGGTCAGCAAACACATAGTAACACTGTTCGGAAAATGTTATTTTGTTTACAGTGTGCTTAATATAACCTGCTTTTAGCATTTGGGAAGCATATTTCCTAGCATCCCGTTTATCACTTAAACCTTCGACATGGCTCTCCAGCCAATCCACAACATCTGCCCCTTTAAATATAAATTAAAATTATAGTCAATATCTTTGAAACTATAAAAAGTAAAACAACGTACCAATAAAGGCATTTGGGATAGTTATTTTTAACCATAGACGATCTCGAATCTCCAAACCTGATTCAGGCCTTGCCATGGCTCTCACAATTGTTAGCATATCTGTTGTGTTAGCATTTAAATGAAGTTCTTCTAAAGCTCTATCGATATCTGGTATACTTGATGAAACTGAAGACGAATTTGATTCTAAAGTTGATATTGAAGGAGGCCTCAATGGATAACTTTCACCTAGAACCATAACATGAAAATTATCGTGTAAATATGTTTGGATTAATGTGTTGAAATGCACAAATTACCTCTAATAGCAGCAGTGTGGGCAACCCAGGCACCAGGATCTATTGGTCTTACGGGTTCGGTTCGAGGTATTGTGAAATATCCTTTGGGGTTGGGATCCCAACATTTTGCCACTACCAGTTTAATTGGCCTGTAACAAATTTATCCATACTTTAGTCAATAAATAATTAAAATGTTTTTATTATATTTATCTTTTTTTTGCATACATACTCTGATAGATCATAATCAATTTTTTGACCATATTTGATAAAATTTCATTATCTCATTTTAGTTTTAATCAAATGAATTGGTTAGTTTTGTACGTCTATGGTTTAATTTCAAATTTAAGTTTAAAAATGCCTCTTAGTATTGATACCCAGTTCTGTATGCCCTAGAGTAACCACACACGGGACAATTGTTTTTTAACTATGAGAATTTTATGAAACCAGCACCTTACTGTTGTTCAAGCAATTCATCAGCCCTAGAAAGTTCAAGGTGTACAACTCTCTGAATGAACTGCTCGAAGAAGATTAAATGAGTATGAGTGGATGGCTTTTCACCCAGTCAGAAGACCTGAATTGACGAGAACACATAGGGTTTCATAGCTGCTTCATTTTGCCTGAGAACATCAAAACATCAGCATTGGTCTGCTGTACTTTTTACAAATGAGTATATTTGCTCTACGATCTCCAGACAGTATCTTGTAATTTTACCCAAAGCCAACCTTTTCAAAGTGGCTCTTTAATGATGCATTTCCAAGATGTAATTAATGCAAAAGGAGGAAACTCACATTACTGGATGCAAAAACCTAATAAAACTACAATTTATCATTGTTTGTGTTTCTTTTTTTACATTTCCCTTAGCAATTTAGATTTATATTTTCACTTGTTGAAACAAAAAAGCACAGAATAAAAAATATATAACACACTTAAAATAGTTTAAAAAATCAGAAAAATTAATAGCAGAAATTTTTTATGGTCAAAAAATACAAAATAATTAAGTGGGCAAATTTTTAGATTTTTTTTCATATTTATGAACTTATACATTTATTTTTCTTTTAAAAACCTAGCAATAACTTGTATCAATGTTAACGTTTAAATGACTCACCCAGGTTTCTGGACCACTTCTCTCAAAACTCTAACTGCTTCATCGTTCGACATGTCTTCAAAATTGATATCATTGACTTGAAGGATCATGTCACCAGGTTCGATCCTTCCATCTAACGCTACGGCCCCACTATAGAGGCAAACTACATTAGAATCAAAGCTGATTGTGTAAATATGACAAAATTGTTTACCCTTTCATAATTGAACCAACATAAATTCCTCCATCGCCACCCTTGTTACTTTGGCCAACAATGCTTATACCTAGAAAATTGACTGTATCCATGTTCAAGATGACAGTAATTATATTTAAAGACATCGTCGAATCGGTGATGGAAGAGTAGGAAGAGGTCCTGGACATTGGAGCCCTGTGTTTTTTTCTCCTTTGTGGTCTCCGTCTACCGACTATTCTAGACATCACGCTCCCACTTTCTAAGGATAAGAAATCACATATTGAACAAGCAAATTGTATAAAGTGAAAAGTTGCACATGAACAAATAAGTTATTTACCATCTTCCTCTGGATTGCATTTATTTATTAAGAAAATTAATTAATTAAGTTATTAAAGAGTAAATTTATTTTAAGGGTGTACAAACCTAGAGTACCCCTATCGACTGATAGGTTTGTTGCTCTTCCAGTAGTTGTGGTTATCCTACTAGAAGCATCATCATCCTCTTCTTCATCACTTTCTAAAAAACTAGTTGTTTCAAGCTCTGAACTTAAAATCGACGATGACTCATATCCATGAAGCCTAAGGGGTAATTTTCCATGCCCATTCATCTTAACGCCTAAAAATTACACAAATTATTAACTTCGGTATTAATAATCCACTTATTTGAAGAAAACAGAATCATACAAACGAATAAAGGAAAATAAAACAAAGGAAAAAAAAGAAAAAAAGCTTACCATTATATTTGTGATATTTATCATGAACTCGAGGTTCATGATGGTGATGACCTGTAAAATTTAAACTAAATAGAAAAAACTAAAACTCAAAACAAAATCAAAACTACAAAATCAACCATTCTAGCGGGTATAAACAACTTCTAGAATACTTGAATTATGCAATCTCAACAAACCTCCTGGTCTTGAACTGATAATGGACTCCGTTTCAGTGCACGTCAGGTCATCTTGGTTCATTCGGGACCCATGTCCATGGCTGTACAAAGAAAAAAAAACACAAAGCGATTAATAATCTAAAATTAATTTTTATCTAATGGTACATGGTGAATGGATTTTGTTTTACGTTTTTACATTTGTTTGTTTTTTATTAATGTAATTACTATTTATAATTAACAAATGTAAATGATATAAACAAGTCATCAGAAAACTATGAAGATTTTCTTCTCACTTTAATATACTATGATTATTTACTAATTATCTTAAGATTTAATTTTTATTTTTTCTTATTTTTAATTAATTTTTATTTTATTTATTTTTTGGACGAGGGATTTCAACTATAAGGTTATATTGGCTTCGGGGTGCCGGTCTTTTTATAAAAAAAAATTTGTATGTTGTGATCAAATGCAGAGCAGCTGGATTCTTACAGTGATAAATGCAGCGTCAACATCTAAACCATTGCAGCCACCGACGCAATTATATTTACTCCTACAGCAAGATGGGACAATTGCTTTATTTAATTCTTACCATGGTAAATTTTGGTTGAAACTATCAAATGCACATTCAAAGTTGAAATAAAAAATTATCAATAAATCATCTTTTTTACACACGAGACTCGAATAATGAGGCCCAGCATTTAAAAAGAATATGTCAAGACTAATATGTAATAAAATTATATAGGATATAAAAATGTTAAGTTTGTTATATCAAATTGGAAGGTAAAATATGTAATTACTTATCTGGTAAACCAGAAATATAACACTGTTTTAAGATTTTGAAATTTTTATATTTTTTTATTGATAGTTACTGTCTATCCATAATAAATACCAAAAAATTGGACATTACAAGAGACTATTTAATAAAACTGCAAAAGATAAATAAAATATTTTGAGGTCATGAACTGAGAACCCATAAAGCAGCAACCAAGTGTGCTTCACAACCACAAAAAATTACTTGCTTTCTAATAAAATACAGAATTAAAATTCTGCCTTGATAACTTTCACGAGTTAATTAATTTAAAAATAAAAGTTTTACTATATATAAACCTTAAAATTTCCCTGGGACTGAATATTATACAATGGTGTGAATATTAGTATTGACAATTGTTTACAATTAGAAATTTCTGCCTGGGAAAGTAACAACCTTCCATGATTACTCTTAAACTTCCACATAATTTTTTTGAGAATTAAGGTTTTCTGGCCCGTTTTGAATTTTTTTTGAAAACTTCCTAATAGGGAACCCCATCAGTTTTATCAACAATATGGGATTAAAAAAGCAATAATTTCTATCATTTACATTTATCTTTTGTTTTAGGTTGTGCAACAAATGTCTGAATTTTTCCTTTGGTTAAGCAGATAAATTAAAAAAGAATATACTCAATGCAATATTATTTTAATAAGATTAATCCATTTAGCCTGCATCAAGCCTTTTTTAGTATTAAAATAAATCAGATAATTTAAAATTTTTAAATTTTAAATTTACACTTTTACAGGGCGATAAAGTACTTTACTTTTCAGCAACTCTCATTGGTTTGTATGGAACTCTTATCAGACAGAATTGTTATTGTAAATAAATGCAAAACATTCAGAGAAGGTTGCTAGCAAAGAAAACGTTATGGTTTGCTTTTATTTATAATTAAGAAAGTATGTAATACAAATATTCAAAACTTGGTGGCCTGCTTTATATACATTGGACTTATATAAGCCTATTAAAGAGTTTTTCCTCTTTAAAAACACCATGATAAGACTTCATGAACAATGTTAATTTACTGTTAAATTTTCATTTGAAAAAATATCTATGTCAATGCAGGTAAAATCAAAAAGTTGCCAACCAACAATCTTGTTTATGTAAAAGCTTGGACAAGCAAAAAAATAAGCAGGGAAGAATTTCTGGTGGACTCCAATTTAAATGGAATGTTCGATAACAAGCCTAATGGGCAAATATCCATTTATGGATAATTATATATTTTGAGAGTTCATTTTGAAAACATAAGGAACCTTGGGAATGGGAGAAAAATACTTCTGTTAAGTAGACAAGTCTGTTGATGACACTGTTGGATCTAGAATGTAAGCAAGTCCTGGTTAAGACTATTTTATATATCTATATGATATCTTAAGTAGTAAAAGCATACCCAATTTAGAGACGACCTTAAAAAGCTATAGATGACAAGGAACAAGACGAAATTTATCTCCTCGCAAAATTTAGTAAGAATGAAATTCCAGAATAGATAAATTCTATTTAACGCTATTTATTTTTCATTAATAAATGATTCCTAACAAGTATAGATGTATTAATTTACATAATAACAACATAGCATTGGAACGTAGCCCAATGAAACAGTTTTGGAGTTCTGTGATGTTTACGAAACATTTGGAAAGCTTCTCTTACAAATCATAAAAATCAGAATGAGGTTTTTGATGCATGGAAAGGTGTCAAATGTACTCTGTGACTGAAAAAAAAATCACTAATGGCACCTTTTAGAATCTGCCTTTAAAAAAAATCTAGGAGACAATGGTTTAGTGATACTATCCACCATCCCCTCCTTTTCTTACGTTTTTTAATTTTATTTATTTATTTTTATTTTTTAAATTTTTTAATTAGTTTGTAGCCAATGCACAAAACAGTAACCGCAGCTGCTGCAATAACAGTTTCACTGTTGTTCATCACAATTGGTAGTTAGTTGAGAATTTGCACAGCATTTGGCAATACGTATTCGCTGATTCCACAACTAGGAGATTATACAAACCCCTCATGTGTGTATGCATAGGCACGCTATTTGGTGAATGCCAAGACGAGCATCTCGAAACTTGGCAAACATTCGGTGGGAATTGGCATTCGACAAATATCGCATGTCTCGAGGCACCTTTAAGCTTTAAATGCCATTGATGGCACTCGTCACAGATGATCTCTCAACTTGCAGAATTTGGAACGATACTTGGCAATAAGTAAAAGAAGTAGGAAGAAAAATAATTGTTAAAAAAATATTTCATGATAAGACATTGAGTAAAAAATGTGCATGTCTACAACTGCATCTTTCTCATGGAAGTTCTCGCCATTGAGAAATGAACTTAAAGAGGCACTTTTATAGTAAAAAACAAGGGAAAAGCACTAATATCTCACAGCCTCTTTTCAGAAATTAAAATGAAAGAAATTTCAGAATAAAAAAGTAAAGTGAGGTGATTCCTGTCGTACAGGAGGGTTTAACGTCCAACCTGTGTTGTGTTTAACGTAGTGTTCGGTGTCTCAGATGAGGGGTTAGAACCACTGTACTTTTTATGTATTATTTATTACCAATTAAAATTCCATGGGTTGTGCCAGGATTTAAACCCAGAACTGCTACATAGCAAATATGAGCTGGACACCCTAACCACTCAGCCACCACAGTCCCCTTAATTTCAAAATATTTTAAGATAAAGCAGGAAGAAACTGGAGGTTTTTAAGATTCTGAGAAGTACTGCAGACCAAATGGACATCTTACATAAAATATGGGACTTGGATTTGACCTCATTGTTGTGATTCTAGCATTAGAAAACCCTTAGATACCAATTTTTTGACTAACAATTTCGACAACTTTCTGCCTGACTGGCATTCCTAGTGCAAGTTTTAACATCATTTTTCTCAATACCTAGAAAACCGATTTTAATTATTGATAATTTGTTTTAAAGAAATTGTCCAGTGCATTTTATAGCGGTATCATACATTAAAATAGGACTATTATTCACATTTAAAAAATAAAATAAAATAAAATAAAAAAATGAGATTAATTTTTGACAAATGTTTTTCCTATTTTGAGTATTTCCTTATAGAAATCTTTCATATATTTTTATGGTATATATGTCATTAAAAAGCTACATTCCTCTTTTTTCAAATAGTATGTTTGACGTTAAAATCCTTAACCCCTTTTTGAATTATAGCCATTTCAATCAGATATTCTGATAACGATTTCTTAAAAATCGGAAAAATTTTAGGGGTCAAAAAATTAATAAATTTAAATTAAAACAAAAATTTATATTTAGGGGTCTCTAGTGGTGCTAAAACGAAATTTCATAATTAGTTTTAAGAAAAGAAAAAATTATGACATAGTTTACTTGAAAAAAAAAAAAATGTTTTTAGACATTTTTAGTTTATTAATAAATGATTATTTGGATAGGTGAGATGCAGTTTGTGTGATGTAGGTTTAGAAAAACATTTTCTTTATCGTGCCAATGTTTCGATCATCTTCAGGGCTCAATAAAGATCGAAACATTGGCACGATAGAGAAAATGTTTTTCTAAACCTACATCACACAGACGGCATCGCACGATCTCCCAATTATCATTAATTATTCGTCACTAATTACTACACATTACTAATAAACATTGATAGCTTTTTTTAAATATTTTTATTGAAGTCTACATAAAAAAACTGTTAAATGGTATATTCTCAGAGTTGATTTGAGCAAGTAGAAAAGCTAAATATGTATATATTGAAAAACAGAAAATTTCAACTTTCAAAATTTTTTTTGGCAAAGCCAGGGCTATTCACAAGAAGTGGAGGATATGTGTCTGATATTTTGGAGTGAAGAATCAACAAAAAAAAGTTTGGTTCAAATCCGTGAAACACCAACCTGGTCGTCCCCTTGTAAGTGTGAAGTTAATTTTAATTTTTTGCTTTTTGGACCAAATGTCAAGATGTAGGTTTTGAAGGTCTCGGAAAGCGATGACATCATTTTAGAGGAGAGGATTTTGGAAGAATAGAATGTCATCAGGATATATCGTGTAAAGGAGAGATCCAACAATGAGACGCCAGCTTGGATAGGACAGATAGGGTATATCGCTGTGCCCGGTCTAAGTAACGGATATACAGATATAATTTGGTGCAGAATCAACAAAAAAGTTTGGTCCAAATCACACACCAACCTGGTTGTCTCTTGTAAGACTTTTAACAGATAATGTTGATCGTAGATAAAGTTCCTTTAAGAACAACCAAAGGAATTCTGATAAAGCATTATGTTGTCAGAAATGAAGTACTCACTGATTGTCTTTGTGCCTGTCCGGAGGATTCTTGCCGTCCGAATGGCTCGCACTCTCCGTACACTGGGACGTCCCATCGGAAAGGTTGCTGCCTTCGGCTGACACAAGCTGAAAACGGTACAATTTAATTAATTAATTAATAGCGGATTGTGATGCGAAGACGTCGGACCTACCCAGGAAACGACACGTCCGTTGAAACAAGGCAGGTGAGCGTCATCGTCCACGATCTCCTCCTTGACAACCCTGTAAAACGAATATGATAAACTTCAAATCCAGTACAAGACGATGAGAGGATTAAGGAAAAAGGTCGTAACACTCACCCGAAATCGTCGTCCATAGATTTGAAAAAGTATTTGTAATTAGGCCTGTTGAGGACATTTTTGAAGTCGGCGAGAGTCACTTTCTCAGGTGCTATGCTCAGCTTGACCAGGTACGGCGTCTCTTCGTCGTCTATGTGGTAAATCACCTTCGTCTCGTCCATTATTATTTACATTTGGCTTTAAATAATGAAAATGAAATCAGTAAAACATTTCCCTTGTTTTCAATATGGACGTCCATCGAAATCAGTCTAATAATTGCCAGTCCTACCAACAACTGTCAAACTACTTTATAACATCATTTTAAACTTCATTAAATCAGTTTCCAACATTTTCCCCTTAACAGAACAATATTTTATTACAAATAAGCAGTAATTAAATAAAAAAACCACATATTTACAACTTTTCAACTTAAATCATTTGTGAAAAAAAAAATTTCTTGAAAAATTGTTAATTAAAAAAAAAATTATACTTTATCTTTCCTTTTTTAAAATGTCAAAAAACATCATGTATTAATAATAATTAAGAATAAAAAACAATGCATCAACATTACTACATAATTATATAAAATAAAGAGATCAAAACTCCTCTGTTTTTCTTTAAGCCCCCAGATTTCAAAAATGCCAACAGAAAGGAACAGTTTGCCCGAGGTTTCAAGCCCGGTTGTCTAGACTGATGTTTTCTGGTGGGTCTTTAAATTTAAAAATTCCCACTCGAAAAAAATATCGAGAGAGAGAGAAAGCAAAAAAAGAGAAGTAAGTTATGAAGAATGGCAAAACCGCTGGACTGAAATGACTGAAAAACTAAGAAATATTAAAGACATGGTCAACCATGACCCATGGAGAAAATTAAACAGAAAGATAGAACGATCTTAACGAGACTGTTGATAGTGATAGCACAACAGTGCGTACCAGTAGAATTTATTGGAATTACAAGTAGTGAAAGTGAATGACTTTCAATATACAATACAAACAATATACAATACAATCTGCCCCTTTGTATACATGCAATATGAATGTATGTATTTATTAGCTAGAATGCTGGGTGAATGGGTGTGAATGAGAACAGGCCATTCGACAGTATTTCCAAGTTCTTCTATGGTCTCTTATCTAGATTTAGTTTTTTTGGTATGAATGAGAGGAGTGGTCATTGGCAGAATATTAAGTGGCCACTTATTTATATTTTATTTGTACATAGAATATGAGCAGACGAATGAGTGTATTTATTATCGTGAGTGAAGACTCACCCAGTTTCATAATGTCAATGTTAAAATCTTCCATTAAAAATATATGGTTATAGTCACACTAAGTCTTATTAGGAATGTCAAAAAGTTTTTCAACAAGTACATTATAGAAGTACTATATTCAAGATTCTTGTATACACCGATATAATAACCTTGGCTGACTCCCCAGTTGCAACACAAAAATAAATTTATTTTAATACCTTGGAGTCTTACTGTGATAATTAATTTTTATGCTATCTGAGGTAATAACGGACTCTTTTTAGTTAAATTCAAACATTCTTGTGTGTTCATGATTTAATCTTTTAATACTATTCGAAGAGGTCAAACTATCCAGATAGTTGGCTTGTACAAGTACAAATGATAACATATAAAAATATAAATTATATCTTTGTCAACAATTGATAAAATAAAGATAAAAGATATTTGTTTATTTGTCAAGATTTCAATTGTTTCACCATCTAGGCAGGAAAACCTATACTTGTATTAAAAAAATGTTACATTTTGTCAAAATTTTCATCAATTACATTGTGATATACGTACATTTGTGCATTACACGTATACTGTCTTTTTATATTATTTGCGGATATACTGTATTTTTTATTAATTAATTTATATGTAATCTGCACATATATTTACAAATGGTTAAGAGTGAGCTTTATTAATACAAAATATTAAGACAAAGTAAAAAGTAAAGAAATTTCTGTCATACAGGAGTTCTAACTTTATTGTTATATTATACAAATGCATATACACCACCAGTTGGTTGTCATGGGCAAGGGGTCAAACCACTGTACTATACATTTTTCATACTATAATCAATTAAAAAGCCGTGAGCTCTGCCAACCCAGAACCGCTAACATGGCAAATATGAATCGAACAACTTAACTTTTAGCTATTGTGGTCCCCTAAATATTAAAACAATATAAAAGAAGAAAAATCCCAGTAAAAGGCAAAGAAAATATAAATGCAGAAAACATAACACATACTAACCTTTAGCCTGGTTAAATAACAAATAATAATCCGCTAAAGCTGTTTTTTATTTTCCATAAAAAAAATAATTTCTCATCTTACAGCTTATTTCTTGCAGATAAATTTAATAAAAACACACTGCTCCAGAGAACTTAATATTCCTAGGGGTAATTGGAGATAAGCCCCTACATTCACCTACCACAATTCATTGTCACTACCCCAGAGTACTTGATAACCTTTGGGGTAATTGGGGATAAGCCCCTGAATTTACACTAATAAATTACATTCGTACACCACAATTCATACACACTACCCCAAGTACTCAATATTCCTCAATGTAATTGGATAGAAGCCTTTTCATTCGTTCTAACAAATTACATACATACACAATTCATTCACACTACTCCAAGCACTTGATATTCATCAGTGTATTTGGAGAGAGGCCTCTGAATTCACACTAATAAATTACATTCGTTCACCGCATTTCTTTCACACTACCCCCAGAGTACATGGCACATGATATTCCTCGGTGTAATTGGAGAGAAACTCCTTATTTCACACTAATAAGTTACATTCAAACCCCAAAATTCATTCACACTATCACAGGGTACTCTATATTCCTCAATGTAATTGGAGAGAAGCTCCTTCAATCACACCAATAGATGACAATCATACTACCTCAGAGTACTCGAGATCCCTTGATGTAATTGGACAGAAGCCTCTTCATTCATGCTAATAAATTACATTCACACTGTCACAGAGTACTTTATATTCCTACGGGTAATTGGAAATAAGCCCCTTCATTCGTATTAATAAATTATGTTCACTCTACCCCAGGGTACTCGGTATTCTTCAGTGTAATTGGAATGAAGCCCCTTCATTCACGCTAATAAATTACATTTACACACCATAATTCATTCACACTAACACTGAGTACTTGATATTCCTCAATGAAATTGGATGGAAGCCTCTTCATTTTTACTAATAAATTACATTAACACACCAAAATTCATTCACACTATCACAGAATACTTGATATTCCTCAATGTAATTGGATAGAACCCCCTCATTCACGCTAATAAATTACATTCATATTACCTCAGAGTACTCGGGATCCCTCGGTGTAATTGGAGATAAATCCCTTCATTCACGCTAATAAATTACATTAACACACTAAAACTTGTTCACACTATCACAAAATACTTGATAGTTCTCAATGTAATTGGATAGAACCCCCCCTCATTCACGCTAATAAATTACATTTATATTACCTCAGAGTACTCGGGATCCCTCGATATAATTGGAGATAAGCTCCTGTATTCGCGCTAATAAATTTTCATTTCATTGATTTATTTTCCTTTCGGTTTTAAATTATTTTTTATAATTTATCATTATTTTAACTAAACTTTTTTATCAAGTTGTAATTATATCGCAAATTCATTATTTTATATTAGTGTAATTAATTTATAATTGGCACTTTTTACCCTGTAACTTTTACGTAACACATGATCAGGAGATGACCCCCAAAACTTTAGAGCCGAGGTATTATTTCCAAGGCGGTCGTTTTGATAGAATGTCGACAATGGAGGTTATGCTTATGTGTTACGCCTCTTTTGCTGTTTACAAGCATGTCGTGATGCTGAATAGCTAATGTTGACCTATGTCTGATAGTTGGTTTACATCCACGTAGTGACTTAGTGAGCTATTAGAGGGGCGGTGCTTAACCAGGCCCATTCCCACTCTCCTTCCTGTTTGTTTTTATAATTCATACTACAAAAGGAAGAACGCACTTGTATTTGTGATATCATTTCGATAATGCTCTAATTCGACTAGGTGAAATGAAAATCAAAACTTTCAAATATAGCAAAAGCCCTCAGAACGAGCCGTTTCCGGGGAAAGATAGTCTGTAAGTGATTGTTTTCTGTATGTCTTTCCGTGATTAACAGCTTTCATTAATTTCAGGTTCAGGATTCTCGCCTATGTAGCTATTTGCATTTTAATACTGGTCTTTCTGTGTTTAACGATTCACTGTAAATCTGTGGAAAGTGTTGCGATTAAATTGGATGATCGTGAAGGCATCAATCGTAAGTGGAATGACTTGGCAGAATTCAAAATTACAATTTAAATTAATTATACTTTTTATCTAAGTGCTTTGTTGTGATGAAAAAGCTAGTGGCTTGGATTTGAACCCACGACTCTTGACTCAATACGCAGCTTCTCTAACCACTTGAGGGGCGTGTTGAGCGAAGGTCTTGGGCTTGAAAACTGCTTGTGACACTAGCTTTTTCATCTCAACAAAATCCTTAGATAAAAAGTATAATTAATTTACATAATTATTATGGTTCATTATAACTCTAAATATATATATGAAACATTTTCCATGTTCTACTGAATCTAATGTACTCTGACAAGGAAAAAATTCCACCCACTTGTAATATAACTTGATTTGTATATATTTTTATATATTATTCAAAGTGTTATATATTAATCAGTTATTAAGTTTAATAATTGAGTCTTTGTCTAAAAAAGTAAAGAAAAAGGAAAGTAAATTGCTAAGGCAAATGAAAAAAAAAAAGACAGAAAGATAAAATTTGTTTTAATTTTGTTTTAGATTTTTAATTAACATTTCAATATCGCGTATTTCCTCTTCTTGTTTTAATTATATCTCAATGACAAACTTTCTAATAGTCTGGAAATGTCTCTTTGCTGGAGGTTAGCCCATTCTTCACAAAGAGACCTTTCAAGATCGTGGAGTGTATCAGGAAGTGATGCATGCTCTTATTTATCTTCTAAGGTTATTCCATAAATGTTCGATGGGGTTCAGTCCGGAGAACGGGCTGGCCTGGCCTGTTATGCTGTTTGTATTGTGCGAGCGACATATGGACGGGCATTATCGTGCATTAGGGCAGGATTGTCACCAATCACTGACAATCCTCACTCATGGTCGAGGATAGGCATCACATGATTTTCCAAAATTTCATCCACATAGCGAGTGGCCGTCAAAGACCCTCCACGAACAACAGCCAACTCTATGCGAATATTAAAATTCCCATCCACACCATCACTTAGCTATACTGAAAAGTCACGATAGCTCAAGTGGTAGAGTAGCGGCGTATCAAGCCGAAGGTTGTGGGTTCAAATCCCGCTCGTGACACTGACTTTTTTATCTCAACTTAAAACCTTAATTAATTGAATGTTATTAATTGGTCAAGCGGACCACGAAAAATAGTGAATTGAATATATTGAAAAGGTAGGTTCTGGGAAAAATTACAAGCTTTGTACCTTTTATTTCACCTTGTCCACATTCTTTCACATCAATCTAAAGATCGTAGAGCAAATCTACACTCATCTGTAAAAAGTACAGCAGACCAATGGCTGTGCTCTCGAGCAATTAGGAGCCGTGGAACTCTGTGAGTTCTGGCCAATTTTGGTCCTCTTACTGGGTGAAAAGCCATCAGTCCATACTGATTTAATCTTCTTCAAGCAGTGCAGAAATTTGGACACCTCGAACTTCCTGGAGCTGACGAATCGCTTGAACAACAGTACGGTGCCGGTTTCGCAAAATTCTCAAAGTCAAAAACCGGTCATCCTGTGGTTCAGTTAATCTAGGACGTTCAGAACCGGGCCTTCTATTGTAGACCCAGTTTCTCGAAAACGTCTAACGGCATCTCACAGTGTTACGTATAGAACTACAATGGCAATAGCCGCATACCTAATGGGACGTCCATTATCAATAAGTGCCACACGGCATGCATCATCTTCAGCACTAAGTGGCATTTTTAAATTTAAAAATTGAAATTAAGAAAACAAAGATGAAAATTAAATAGTTTATTGCTTCAGAATTCAAATGAGACTGAATAAACATTTTAAATTCCGTAAAATGTAAACATTGAAAATTCTTTATCCTTGTTCTGGATTAAGGATAAGAGTGTTTACCTCTAATTAATATTCCCAATTTAAAACAGCATAAATATATATTTTTTGGTAAAAACAATGAGACAAATTATAGGCAGAAATTTTTTTGTCAAGAAATTTTTTTTTAATTTATTTATTTTTTTTTATTGGCCTTATGATCTTTGCATATTAGCCATGACGAATTCTTATATATATATTGTTCAAATTGGGGGTTATCGGGATAAAAGGGCCAGAGGCGACGGTGGGAATCGAACCCACGACCGCGGCGTGAGAGTCTCTCATGCTAACCACTCGGCTACTGCGGTCCCCCATTTGTCAAGAAAATGAAAAAAAAAAAAAATCAATTGTGTGGAATTTTTTTGCCTGACAGTGTAATTACTTCATTCACACTACATTCACCCTACCCCAGAGTACTCTAGATCCATTGGTGTAATTGTAGAGAAGTCTCTTTATTCATGCTAATAAATTACATTTACACACCACAGTTCATTCACACTATCACAGAATACTTCATAGTTCTCAATGTAATTGGATAGAACCCCCTCATTCACGCTAATAAATCACATTCATATTACCTCAGAGTAACCATGATCAGTGTAATTGGAGAGAAGCCTCTTCATTCATGCTAATAAATTACATTTACATACCACAAGTCATTCACACTATTACAGAGTACTCTATATTCCTATTAGTAGTTTTTATTTTTTTATTTTTTTTTTATTGGCCTTATGATCTTGCATATTAGCCATGGTACGAATTTTTGTGTGTTCAAATTGGGGGTTATCAGGAAAAAAGGTGGGAATCGAACCCACGACTGCGGCGTGAGAGTCTCTCATGCTAACCACTCGGCTACCGCGGTCCCCCTATTAGTAGTTAAATGTATATCTAATGTATATTTCATTTTATAAGTTTTGCCTAGTTTATTACCCTCTTAGGCAAAATCAACATTGCCCTCCATTTGGATGATAAACTTATACTCTGTTCGTTACCATTTTGGCCTTTCTGAAATGCCGAAAATGCTTGTTCTATCTATTTCAGCTTCTTTCTTACATAATCATCATTTTGTTCTCATGTGATGAAGGTCTGTTTCAATTTTCCAACCTTGATTACTAAATGGTTTTGCTTCATTCGGTGAGGATAATGTTTTGGAATAATTTCTTGTTTTTCCACATTTCTTTTTAGTGGGTTTTATAGAAAATTTGTGGTCTGTGATTTTGCCTCCTTTTATATTAACATTTGAGTTTAGGTTGTAAAGTTTGATGTCTTATTGGGCTCACACAATACATTCATAGTCATCTTCTCCATATAACGATATGTAACTTATCTATAGATAAGTTGTACACAATGTAATATCTCTACTTGAGCATTATATGTTTTATACAATAATATTAGTATTTTCATCACACTCACTCAATAGTGTAAGCCTTGTTCTGCTTTCAAGGAGGGAAAGAATTAAATTTAAAAAAAATTAATTAATTAATTAAAACTGGTCTTATTAGACTAACCATTAATTTTACAATAATTTATATAGAATAAATAAATGTTTCCATTATTATAAACCCATTGGTACAATAAGATTTACATTTCACTATTCACTAATTTTTTAACAACAATAGTTTATATGGCTTTGTTTTTTTAATCTTCTGACGGTGTTTCGGTAATGTAGGAGTTTGGTCGCTTCCACAATCTCGTGCTGGCTGAGGCAAGACTGGTTGGTTGGCGGCAAATCTTTTTTTCCCCTTCAACCATTAAGGGGTCCAAGTATTATTTGTTCTCTTATGTATACGTGAAGTAAAATACAATCCCATGCGTGAGCAGCATCCTGGATGGACAGACGCCTGGGAATGAGGGTTGAAATAATACTATCGATAGTCTGGAAGACACATTACTCGATTTTATTATTAAAAGTCTAGAGTAATTGATAATAGTTACAATTAATCTATTGCAGATGTACAATAATAGTATAATAATGAATAATATACCGAAATGTTTAAATTGATTACATAGACAAATTAACTGAAATCAGTGGGTCTATTCTCAGTTTAAGTCATCGGCATGATACTCTTGGGCTGATGATTTGCAGCCCTGTGTTTTAATTAACTTACTAATTGACTCTCTCAAGTTGGCACTTCTTTTGTGTAGTGCCCTTAATGTAATAGTACTTGGTAATAGTTCTCAACTTGACTGACTTCAATATGATTTAGATGAAAGTACAATTTTTTACTTCATTTTTTTTCTAGATAACAGAATTAGTTTGATTCATGGTGATTCTGTGCACAAGAGTAGCTCAAATTTGCCACCAAAGGGCCGTGTTGTCTGTTATTATGTGATCCCAAATAACGACTCATGGATCAACGTACTTCCGCCGAATTCTGTAGACCCTTATTTTTGTTCTCATATAATCACGGGTTTTGCTCAAATTTTCAAAAGCGCTGTCAACCCAGACAAATACGATTTGGCCGTACGTAGATAAATATTTTAATTTATTTTTATTTTTATTGATGGTTTGATTGATTTGTCAGGCATACAAAGCGGTGATAGACTTGAGGAACAACAACCCGAGTCTAAAAGTCCTCCTCTCTGTGCAGGATTTTTCAAGTCACGGAGAGTTTAGCAAGATCGTTTCAAGCCAACTTCTTCGAGAAAAGTAGGCAACAGTTCCAATTAGACCAATCCAACAAATTAATTAATTAACCTCTTACAGATTCATTAATTCAACGCTCAAATTTATCAACGATACTGGTTTCGACGGGTTGGATTTGGATTGGGAATTTCCAGCTTGGCCTGAGTCAAATTATTACCAAGTAAATAATTATACACGCCTCCTGCAGGGGTTTAGAGATAAAATTAACATTAGTTACAAACATTTAATTCTATCGATTGATGTTGCCGCACCAGCGCTAATAATACACCAATCCTACGAAATATCATCTCTGGCAAAGTACTTACAGCTACAGTATTTTATTTTTATTTTTCTACTAATTTTTATTTTTATGTTTTAGGATCGTAGATTTTGTGAATTTGATGTCTTACGATTATCATATGTACTCTAAGTACCTCCCTTTAACTGGTCCGAATTCACCTCTTTATTCGAGTCCTCGTGATGCCGGCTACATGCTGACTATGAACGTGAATTGGTCAGCTAACAAATGGGTGGAATCTGGTATGCCTAAAGAAAAAATTAATATCGGAATACCAACATATGGACATTCTTACAAGTATGTTATATTTACAAGAGTATAACTAAAATCTGAGTGTTTTATTGGTATTTATGAAACAGTATTTGAAACTTCCTACTTAACCAGTCACTATTTCTATCCTGATTTGCCTTTAGAGAGGAAAACTTGTAACAACTACAATTTGGACTAAAAGAAGAGCGGTCTTGGTCACAATACATTACATAGGCTAATTTTTTGCAGGGGGTCTGGAACTTGGCCCTTTTTTTACGGTTAGGTTTTTGTTGAAATAAATACATTTTACACAACGATATTTAACATGAGAACATTTTAAGAATTGAACAGGCACTGGGTTTGTCAACACTGATAGGATCTTTGATGTTACTCGAACTCATTTTGACTTTTTACATCTTTAGTGAGGAACTCAAAAACCTGCAAATGTAGATGGACCCAATGCCAATTCAACTTGTGTTCACCAACTTCTAATAATTTCTCCTGAAAATTAGAACATGTGATTCAAAAACTTCAGCTGTGTTCAAGCACAGTTTTCGCATTGCGTGACATCCTACTCACTCCCTATATGAAACCAAAGCATACAAGGTCAATGTCAGCCTTATATGGCCAATGGCCAGTTTTGAGTTGAGTTTGTTCCATTTTCACGCCGATCTGTAAAATATTACTATCGATACTGAACAGCTATGCTGATCTAATCTGACGATTGAGATTTTGGCATCAGCGGGCTGGATTGAGGTAGTCGTATTGCAAAACATGTCTGTTTCCTTGAGGATTTATATTTAAATCTTTATTAAAGATAATTTTTTTTTAGGGAATAAAACTTTTCGACACTTTTGTTACAACCTAAGATTTGTATTTATTTTTAGGATGTATAGAAATTGAATAATTTTTCAGACTAGTTAATGAAGATAACAATGGATGGAATGCGCCAGCCATTGGTTTTGGCAATATCGGCCAAGATGGATTTACAACATTTGGTGAAACCTGCGATTTTATAAGGCAAAAGTCCACAACGCATTTCTTAGATGACAATTACAAAGTTCCCTATGCTTTCAACGGGAAAGAATGGATTTCGTACGAGGACCAACAAAGCGTCCGATTAAAAGTAGTCTGTTTTAACTTTTAACATCTTTCCAGATTTACAGGATGTTTTCTTTCTCGTAGGCACTTTACATTCAGGCGAATGGATTTGGAGGAGCGATGATCTTCTCTCTCAACTCGGATGATTTTTCAAACAATTGTAACAATAAAGCGTTTCCGTTGACGAGAGAAATCATTCGTTACATCTAGAACGGCAAGTCTTAGCGATTCCCAGTTTCGCCGGCTGATTTCTAGTCAATTATTGTGATATGTACAATTTATAGACCAGCACAAATATTTCCATGTCAATAATTTAAATTTTATGTAAGGATTATTAAAAATAAATAGAATTTGATATAAAGTAATTTAATTAAAGTCGCTAGAATACAAAACGCCGTTGTCCCAAACAACCACAACTGCGCAGTTCTCCGTGCGTACTCCCGTTAGTCCCGTTTCTTTGTTCTTCCCTCTCGTCAACACCAACCCCTCAGCGTTGCCAACCGTCCCAGTGTTGCCGCCGGTTCTCTTCTAATGTTTCGGAGGGGCGCCTCTTTTCCCTCCTCTTGTCCTCTTCCATAACATTTATTTATATAATGTATTATTGTATACTGTAAATATGTGTATCAATTTTTTTAAATATCAAATACCTATTTATAACTAATGAAATAAATTTTTAAATTGTACTTTTTATATATTTACTTTCACCGTCCCCTAGTTTTGTATAGAAAAAAATCTGCTATTTTCTGAAGCATCAAATGAATAAATGGGAAAGTGTCTTTTAGCCCATTCATCACGGGTCCGAAATCAATCGATCATCACTTTTTTTTTTCATGAAACGAGGATTGCATTTAGGTTCAAATAACGTTATATGATTTACAAGAGCATTTTTGTAGGGTTTTAGACCATGACTCCACACTGGAGTCAACCAACCGTGAATTTAGAATTTTCTAAAACATTTCAAAAACTTATTTTGACTTTTTCTTCACTAACATGTGAATGAGGAAAAATATTTCCATGCTGAAAAAAAAAAAAAACCTGTTAATTTATTTTTTCTCTATTTACAGATGTTATTATCCACGTTTTTGTACATGATTTTAAAAAAAACAAACCAAAAAATTATTTAAACAATGTATTTATAACAATAAAATTACACATTTACAATTTTTTTCTCATTTGAATTGTTTAAAATTAAAAAATAATATATGTATACAATAATATTGACTTTTTCATTATTTGAATAATTTAAAATTTTTGTTACTGTGAATTTCCAAAAAACATTTTGAAATGCATACCGCCCTTCAGAGGCATTAGATAATTTTCCTACCTAAAATGCAGGAAAAAAAATCAGTCTAAGAGAGAGGGACTTTACTCCACTGTGGGGTCACCCGCATTTTTTTAACAAGGATATGAACTATGAACCAACTACGAGATATGAACCCTCATGGTTTGGTGTTAAAAAACCCTATTAGCATGTTCAATGTGTCCTGTAAAAAATTTAGGAGAGCAATTCAAGTTGACTATTTATGTTCAACACCACTGTTTTGAAGATCCTTTTTAAAAAGATGGTTAGGGATTTAAAAAGATACTTCCTACTCACAGTAAGTTGTTTTGCAACAACATACTGCAAAACAACTTACTGTGAGTAGGAACTCTTTTTAAAAAGGATTGAACACCATTCACCATTTCTACTGTTTTGAAGATTTGAAATAATGTGCATCCCTTCCGTTGATCTTATGAGTTAGGCACATATGGACCAAGATCACCAAGAGTTGTTTTTAGCATAAAAATTCAGTTTTACTCAGAAATTCCTCTAACAAACTTATTCATACAGAAATAGTCGAACCAGCCACTGAAGAGTGTGAAATGGTTGATGTGCTTGAAATATGTCGAGTAGTTGAAAACAAAATATTTTTATGGAATAGGGATAAATAAAAACACCTTTTTTCTATTTTTATTCTGTTTATTCAAAAGCCCCAAAAACCAATACAAAGAAAATAGGGGCCAGGATGATAAATTTGTTTCCACGGATTACCAAAAATTTGGTGTGTCATAAAAACTTCAAGTTTTTAGAATGTTGACCGACACAAACAACTGAAGTGGAAAACAAATCACCACCTAGCGTTTTTCCAAGTTATACAGTATGGTAAAACACAATGTCAAAATAAATGCAAGTTGTAAATAATCAAGATAAAAAAATACAGCTTTACTGAATTAAAAAAACTTAAGTAAAAATAATGAAAAAACATAGGCAAAAAATATTTTTAATTAACAAAAGAAGAAATTAAAAAAAAAAGAAGACAAAATGATAAGATTAAACAAATTGAACAAAATTATACCAAGAAAAACTGAGAAATGAGGCAAAACAAATCAAACTAAAAAAAAGGAATCACAAAATTAAGAAAAATTAGAATTTCAAAAAAGAAATTTCCTATAGTAAAAACTTGTTTTTTGTTATAATTTTTCAATTTTTTTTTGTTTGTTTCATTTTTCCTTTTTTTTTGTTTCAGTTACTTAAGGCAGATTGTGTTTCTCTTCTCGTTTACATTTTTTGGTTATTTTTTTTTGTTTTTTATATTTTTCTTTTTTTTTGTTGTAGGGTGAACTAAGAGGGAAATTTTCAATACAAAAGAGTTTCATATTTTTTTTGTTTTGCAATTTTTTTGTTTATGCTCAAGAGAAGATCTGATTCTCTCCTTATCCCTATTACAAACGTGCTGACTGCACCAGCTAAATTGTCACGATGTTCTTACTCCTTCTTTGTTGCTGCCGCAGCCTGCTTGTTATTTGCCTGATGGGCTTGCAAAACAGCTACAGCTTCCTCAACCTAAAAACACAATTTTTTTGAAATATTACATTATAACATACGCTACATTTGACCATCACAAACACTATAATAACACATGGGGAAAAAAGTTAAGTATCGCAAATTTAAATTACCTTAGCTTTAAGGGAGTTATGGTCTTCAAGAAGATGCAACAAATCTGCATTATCAATTTCAAGCAACATTCCTGTGATTTTTCCGGCCAAGTCGGTGTGCATGACTCTGATTAATGGGTAGAGACGCTCTCCTAACATCTGCTTTTGCTCTTGAGCTCCAGCAGCTGTCAACATGGCTGTTGTGAGAGGTTCTTGGCCTTGGATGTGTACTGCTTGTTGTGCTTGTGGTGGCTGTTGCTGAGCCATTGGCTGAGGAGGGTTCCTCATGTTTGCGGTGTACTTGTAGTTGGTGGTCCTTCCTTGTGCGGAGACAGAAACAGGTGGGCCGCCCTGCGGTGGTGCAGCAACTGTAGGTCCTTGGTTCACAAGGGCCGGGCCTCCAGCTGCTGCTGCTCCACGGCCTACTCCTCCTGCAGCAGCTGCAACGGCATTGCCTCTAGCCCCACTTCCTGCGGCGGCGGCTGCAGCAGCTGCATTCATAGCAGTGGATCTCATCGTAGCGACAGCTTGTCCAGCTGTTGGTGCTCTCGGCGGGTTTCTGAAAGGACCGCCTTGCATGTTGGGAAAGCCTGCTGGCGCGGCTTGTGTGTTTGCTCTGACGGGCGGTTGGGCAGCCCATCTCGTCTGTGGTCTTACGTGCGCCATTTGAGCCGGTCCGTAAAATCTCTGGGGCTGGGGTAGAGTTGGTACAAAGTAGCCACCTGTTGTCCCCGGTTGGAATATTTGCCCGATCTGTTGCATTCTCATGTTGGCAAGACGTTGGACATATTGGGAATGCAAATGTGCTTTCCTGTCTTCTTTACGTTGTGCAAGTGCCACATACAATGGTTTTGTGCCCACAATACGTCCATTCATCTCAGTTACGGCCTTGGTTGCTTCCCCTGGAGAAGAAAAGCAAACAAAACCAAAACCTTTGCTCCTGCCTTCTTCCAACATTACCTAAAATGACAAGTCAAAATAATCATTTTTATGTTTTAAGGTGGGGAAAAACCTAAAAAAAATTATGCAACATTTACTTCAACCTTATTTAACTCACCTTTGCACTTGTTATGTTTCCATACGGACCGAACTCAGTCCTGAGTTTTTCATCATCAATTGAGTCGTCCAAGTTTTTAACATAGAGGTTAACACCTTGATAACGATTCATCCTTTCCATCTTAAGTACTTCAAATCTTCTTTTCAATTCCTGTTGTCGTTCGGCTTTCTTCTGAGCTCTCCCAACATATAATGACTGTAATTTAGATAAAAATAAATATTTGTAGCGAGTGTGATATTTATAATACATACTTTTCCTTCTGCAGTTTCTTTGCCATTAAGTTCCTCGACAGCTCTTTCAGCTGATTCTGGATCCTCAAAGGCAACGAAACCGAATCCTCTTGATTTTTGATCTTTGTTCATCACCTAAAAAAAATTAAAGGTAAAATTTACAACCTTTGTTAAATATTATAAACAAATTAATTATTGTTATTATTACAAACTTACCACGGTGTGACTTGTAATAGGTCCATATTTTTCAAACATTTCTTTGAGCATATCATCTGTAAAATCTTCCCCAAAATTTTTGACATAGACATTCGTAAAGAGTTTGGCCTTTTCTCCCAATTCTTTCTCACGTTCTTTTCTTGAAATAAATTTACCGACGAAAACCTGTAAAAATTAAAAAAATGTTGAAGAGAGAAAAAAGTGTAAACAATAACAACAAAGAAGAGATTAAGCACATCCATTTAAAACTGCAAACAATTGTTTTTAATTCAAGGCAGATTATGACCCTTAGTGGTTGCTTGTCTTTATTAATAATAATAAAAAAAATGTTTAAAAAAACAAACACATTTTTGAAGGGACAGACATGTCAAGTGAACATTACACAATATTATTAAATCAATTTACAAAACATAATTATATGAATTAATATAATTAAATCTTAATAATTATTAACTTAGTTAATTGGTTAATAAAATACTACAATATAAAACTATAGCAACACATTTTTAGGCATGACAAAAATTAGTGAGTAATAATAAAGTGGCAATTACTTTCTTTCCGCTGAGCAACATTCCGTTGACTTTATCGATGGATTTTGTCGCGGCTTCTTCAGTTTCAAAATGGACAAAACCGTAACCTTTTGATTCACCATTTTCATCCTGTGCGACTTTGCAACTAAGAATATTGCCAAATGCTGAGAAAGTATCATACATTGCTTTGTTGTCAATGCTCTTATCAAGATTCTTGATAAAAACATTTCCTACTCCAGATTTACGGAGTGAGGGGTCACGCTGCGACCACATAATACGGATTGGACGTCCTTTAAGAAAATCAAAGTTCATTGTATCGAGCGCCCTCTCAGCTAAAGGTAAACAAACAAACAAACACAAATCATTAATTAATTGAAATAGGTGAATGAAGTTTATTATCTATCAATAAAAAAAATTAGATCTGAAGATTTGGAACATTTCAATTTTTGAAACATTGGCCTACCTATAAATAATCTCACTGCATATTTCGGGCTGTTGAATTTAAATTTGGTAGTTAGCTATCATTTTGGTCTGGATATCCTGGCTTGGTTTGTCTGAATATGATGAACTGCTGAAATAATCTGACAGACCAACACAGTTATGTAGGACCAAAATGATCATAACTATAAATTTAAATTCAACAGGCTGCAGAATATAAGTAAAAATCTCCACCTTTAAGTTAACATTTTTTGGTGGTATTGTTTATAAATAAATGTACAGAATGAAAAAGATAGGCCATGAACAATTTATAAGTTGATAACTGAGTAAATTTTTGTTGTTTAATCGCGCAATGACAATTTGTTTACCCAACCAATCCTTTGATCAATATGTTTATTTTCATATAATGAAAATCCAAGGTCCAACCTACACTTGATACTGATAATTTATCTCAAAATTTGTTCCAGCGGAAAAAACCAACTCCTAAAGTATAAATGTGTTTTCACATGTGGCTAGTTAAAAATATATCAAATTTTGTTACCGGCAGGCTTTAAATTCCCTATCAAGATGGGAATCAAACTTATTCTTACATTTTTTACTGGAACGGAAATAGGTCATTCCAGAGGAAATCAAATTTGTACAATTATATTTCTATAACAATAGCTTATCTGAAAGGGTAATGTTCTTATAAATTATTTGAAGGAAAAATATGTTAAATTTTGTATATTCCAAAGTATTTCCTGGGACTTTTGACCTAAAATTCTTAAGAATAATGGATATTTTAAAAATACATTTTGTAACAGAAGCTAATAAAAATATCTAAATTAAAGTAAATTTGTATAAATTTTGGCAAGCCAGCCATTTTAGTTCAATATTGATGGTATTCTAGTAAAAGGGTCATCTGTGAACACATGTTCAACACCATTGGGTCTTTCTACACTCGTGGGGTTTTGATGCTATTCAAAAGCGTTTCGACTGTGCCATCTTCAGTGAGGAGTACATCAAAAATATACAAATGTAGATAGCGCAGATTCAACTTAACGTCCTCTGGCATATTGGATTCTAAAATTCACTACCCAGTGGTATTCCAGTAAACGGAAGACAAGTTCACACCCATTCGTCTTTAAAATTTTGATATGGCCAACTAAAATTCTGGAAAATTATGATTATTTTCTTGTTTATATTTTCACTATTAGGAAGTATTAACCTATATCCAAATTAACTCAATGTCTTAAATTGGAACTGAATTGACTTGCCGGGGCTAAAATTGATTGTCTACCCTAACTGTGTTAAACTTTGAAGTGAAAATATGTCAAGTTCAGATCTCAATCCTTCAAATATGTCGACCAAGGTTAACACAAAAAGAAAAAAACAAAAGAAAAAAAACAAAAAACAAATGAAAGTTTATTAACTTTCTTTTTATTTTTAAAAGAATGACGATTCGGAAATGGAGGGGGGAATGAATTATTCATGCAGGGGGAATGAAGATTCTTGAAAAAGGCGAAAATCGAGGGAAAACAATCCCACGTGGCAGATGGACCTTTTCTCGATCATTAAACCCTAGGGACGTAGGTACAAAAAAAAATATGGGACGGAAACAAAATAAAACCACGTGGTTTGTGAAAAAAAAAGAAAAAAGGCACAGGGTTATAACTTTTACACGTAAATTTTCGTCCGAAAACGTGGCAAATTATAACCTAAAAAACGACCCATATGGAAATTTCAAGGATTGGGTTTATAATTTTTAATTTTTTAGCTTGAAAAGGGTTAAAAGATTGTTTTGTCTGTATGACGCAACAGTTTCGGTTTTTTTGAGGTTGACTCAGAGGGGGAAATTAGAAAGCGTTTAACATTCCTGGCAATATTGTGCAAACGTTTTTTCTCTCTCCCTTTGTGAAATATTGATTGAAATGTGTTTATAATAAATATTTCAATGTCATTGACTGTCCTTGATGCTGAGTCCCAAGGAAGGCCATGCGTTTTCCTCCCAAAGGAATAATTAAACAAATTGTCATTGTGCATGTATTTTTTTCTTTTTTTTTTTTTTAAATATAAGTAGTAAAATATTTTTTTCTTACCATCAGCGGGTTGTTGAAAATTCACGTAGGCATACCCAAGAGAACGACGTGTGATCATATCTCTGCAGACTCGTATAGACAGGACGGGTCCTGCTGTTGAAAACTTTTCGAAAAGCTGGGCTTCAGTCACGTCGGAGTGGAGGTCCCCGACGTAGAGGGAAGCCATGGGATAGTTCGGAACTCCCGGGCCTTGATTCATCTCGTCCGATTGATATTATTCGTTTGAAAAAATAAAAATCTACGGGCGATGGTTAGAATAAAAGTTTTATTCTAGGATAGAATGCGAGTTTTCTTTTGGATGTAAAACACCGACAAGCGAGCGGGGTTTTTTTAATAAAGAGCGGAATACAAAAATAAGTTTTATACTTCTCTTTAGAAAAAAAATGGCCAACTCCTTTCGGCCGAGAAAATGCGAAAATCCTCTTCACAATGTCCGAAAATCGTAGATCTTCCTCCTTCAAAAAATGGGAATTGAATAACGGCCACGTTTCACCACACGCGGAAAAAATACGACCGATTTCCCGAACAAAAAAAACTTTTTTTTTTGTTTATGAAAATTTTACTTTTTTTTTGGTGTTTTTTTATATTAAAGTTTTATGATTTTTTTTGGGGGGGTTTTAAAACTACTTTTTAAAGACGAAAAAGTGGGTTGTGTGACCCGATGTGAGGAGACACAACCACACGCGAACGATCCCTACACTTCTTGAGGAAGAGGGCCTGTAACTGGGTCATCTCACGGTTCCCGAACACGCATAAAGCCGTCAATGCCGCCTCGATCCGCTTGTGGCCAACCGACAAATCGACACTAATGAAAATACACGGAAATTTCACTCTGCAGTTCTATTCGAAAGTTTTTGAAACTAAACTCCTTATTTTCCCGAGACAACGGATGATTTTTAGGCTTTTACTTTTTTTAATATACTACGCGCGCTCCCTACTCATAGTACAATGAGGTTGCTAAAAACAAAAGCGTTTTCCATTGTTTTTTTTCCAGCCGACCGATTGCTTTTTGTCTCTAGTCGACAAAAATAATTGAAAATAACACTAATATACCAACATTAAAATGTATTTACTATTAACAAAATATAAATTCCCAACACGTATTTCGAAACTATAAAAATCTCTCTTAAAGGAAAAATCATTTGTTAAATTAATGAGCCGATAAATAAAAAAAAGTAAATGGATAATTTGTTCAAACGATTTAGTTTATTTCTTGTCTGATCAAGTCGTCAACTGATTCCCGCCAAAGAACGACCTGATGAGAGATTTCCTCGCAGCCTGTTATCAGTTCCAATAAAACAATTTTTTTCAAATCGACGAGACTTTTTTATTCTAATATAATTTATATTTTAATTGTATTATATTGTAAATCTGTCGACATGGATTACATAGATCCTGAAGAAGAGTTCGAACTCGTCTACGGAGATGAGATGGAGGCGATGCGCGAGATGGAGGGTAAGTCCGTATTTAGTTCGGACCCGTATTTTTGAAATTCGTCAATTTTTCATTTACCGGACGGGAAAATCATGAAAACCAGAGCCCAAGGCCGTTTTGAAGAAATGTCAGCTGACATTTTTCTTTTGGCAAAATTTTGCCCTTTTTTTAAAATCACATAAAGCATTTGCCAGCATTGGGGCTTCATGTAAGACAAGCTGTCAGTATCCATTAAGGATTGTATAAAAAAAAGACAAACGAGTGACAATGATTTAACCAATAAGGTCTTGAGTAATTCTCAATTGTTTGAAAATTGAAGCTCTGTAGTAAAAGTTTCCAAACGCCTTCAGTGAAATACACTGTCACTGATAAACAAATTTAACATACATTAAAATTAAATCCATTATATTTTTACATTAATTACATGTAATTAGAAGCTATCAGAGTCGAAATAAATAGTAAATAATGCGTTTACTTTTGTACTGATAGTAGAAAATTTTGTTCGTTTAAATACACCCAAACCTACACTCCATAACTTACTACTGAACTTGTGTTAATTGCATGTTGCAAAGGTATTAATGATATAAACTGCTCAAAAATTAATAAAGATATTGCTAATTTTGTAGTATTTACTTTCCCTAGCATTTTTTTAAAAATTATAAATTGCATTAAAATTTATTAGGAATTGATTTTTAACTGAAGGAAAAATTTAATTAAGGGATTTTGAAAAATAACAGAAAAGGTTTTAATTACAAAGTTATTGGACACAATAACGTTTTTAAGCAATTAATGTCCTCCGTTAGCTAAAACTTCCGTGTGCTTGTTAGGTATACTACTAATAAGATTGTCACTACTTTCATGTTCATGTTCACTACTCCTTAGATGTTACAACACTGCACTCAGTTGTTGCAGGTCAACTGGCTGAGGGTAGTGATAAAAAAGCTTTCTCTGCAAGGCATACCACATCTGCTCATGGGATTCAGGTCAGGAGACAATGGGGGAAGGGGCAGATGGGAAATCCCAGGTTTTCTAAACATTGATGAACAATTGTGCTTCTATTAGGTCTGGCATTGTTATCCAGAAATCGAAAATACCTGCCATTGCAATCCCAGATTTGAGGGATGTATTCATCGATAATTTCTTGGACATAATGGACTAAGGTGAGGTTGTCTTTAAATCCCGCTCCTCCCAACTGCATTGTCGAGAGCACGAACTGGGGCATTGTATGCATCATCTTCGGCGCCTGCTATCACTGTATAGACAGAAACGTGACTCATCAGTAAACAACAGCATTCCAGTTGGTGTTCTCTTCTAAACACTCGCTGCACCTTATTCTCCTGCGTTGCTGCAGGTCATTTCAGAGGGGCACACAATGTGAGGCCAACTTCCCACAAATGATTATGAATCGCTTGTATTGATAAAGGCCTTACCTTGTACTTCATTCAAGGTGACAATGAAAAGGGTTCCTTCCTGCAGCAAAGGCAATATTTCTGTCCACCCTTAGCGTCTTAATGTGCTGAGATCAACTACCAGGCCTCCTTTGGCACTTCCAGCCTTTCAGAATCGGGCAATATCCACTTGCCGGTGACCTCGATGACTCTCTTACAACATTTTGAACTTCTGGTTCAAGATGTTTTTCCATGGTTAAAGAGAACACAATTGGATTAAACTGGAGAAAATATGAGAAAGGGTGTTTGTTTACAAAATGAGTAATATTCTTGTTTATTATTCTTAAATAAATCTGTTATTAAAATTGAGGACTAACATTTGTTTGTTTTTAGTTTGCATTTTCTATCAATATCTATGTATATATATATTAATAATATTTTTTTTTGTTTTTAGTTGTTATTTTCTATTTTGTTTTATCCAACTAATGAGAATATATCAGTTAATTTAATTAAAATTAATAGAATAAGAATAAATTACAAATATCCCTACGTATTTTTGAGCATTTTACATCTAATGTTAGTTCATTTAACGAATTCTCTAACTTATTATTAGCTTAAGTTTTATTTAAATTATTAAATTAGTTAAATAATCTTTTGTTTATTTTATACTGCAAAAAAAAATAAAAATCTATTGTTTGAACAACACCCTAGGACAGAGGCAGGCAAGAAGACTTCTCGCCAAAAAAGTTTCACCTAAAATTATTAGAGCTTATCTGTCACAATTGGTATAACTTTATACTTGTTTTTTCATAATTGAAATACAATGTGAATTAGAAAATATTTTGAAAGCATATAGACAGTAATAACAATCAGGCTGACTTTACCTGGGGGGTACTATTCATTGACAATATTACATACTATACCAAGTTAATAGATAAATTCCAATTAATTATTTTTTTTATGTAAGGTTTTTGGATGAGATGGAAAGTGTGTCATAAGCGGGATTTGAACCCACGACCTTTGGCTCAATACGCCACTGCTCTAACCTGTCGTGAGTCATCTCTGTTAGGTAAAGGTCCCGGGTTCAAATCCAGTGCTCCTGAATTAAAATAAATAAATGCCCTGCGTCAATATTTTAAGAGCCAAGAGAAGCTGTTTCAATACAATAAATACATTATAATAAAAGTACTCATTCGATCTCAGAATTACAATAAATGTTTAGATATTTTGAAGAATTCGCCAGGTAGACAAATTATGGGCCGCCGGTATGGCGTCTCCCTCAGGTACGGCGGGGTGGTGGATGGGCAAAAAAAAGTAGACAAAGGTACAGGTTTATGTATTGACATGTAACATGTACACATAAAAAGTGATTTCTCGACAGTTAAATGTTTCAAGGTATACAGTTAGAGCTCAATTATATTACATTACTTATAATATGAAATGACTGTAATAAAAGAAATAAACCCACCATCGAAAATGGGGAAAAGTCGAAATGTGTCTGACTGCTAGTACATGTAGACCAAAATGAAACAAGTCATCTACAGCTTACCTTAAGAAGAAATCTTACAACGTAATTATACAGATTGTTTTTAAAAGACTACTCAAAGTCTGCTCAACACTTAGTACAGAAGGAATTTATAGCAGACATGGCTGAAAACTATCCAAACCACCGGCAAATTTTTACGGATGGATCACTCTTGGATGGCAGGGCAGGTTGCGCTATTTTCGATTACAAAAGTGAACTTAAAGAACAGTATGCTCTACCAAACTCAATCACTGTCTACACTGCGGAATTAACCGCCATAGCTAAAGCGCTTGAATACATAAAAAAAAGGAATGAAACTAAATTTTGCATATTAACGGACTGTCGAAGCGCTGTAGATAGTATAAATAATGTAACCCCAAGCTGCAAAGTTAATAATTATATCATCACGGATGTTTACCGAAAGATCTTTGAGCTAAAAAAAGATGGAAAAACTGTGATAATATGCTGGATTAAAGGTCATGCGGGTATTCTTCATAACGAAACAGTGGATGCGTTGGTGAAGGAGGCCACTGAACATGGTGTACCCCATCAGTTGAAAATTCCTAAAACAGACGGAAAAATTTTTTTCAACAAATTGTGTTCCAATCTATGGGATAAAGAATACAGCTCAGCAACAGCTGGCGATTACTATCGAGCTTTATTCCCAAAGCTTAAAGCAAAGCCGTGGTTTTCAGAAGGAGGCAGGCAAAAGGAATTCTACTCTGCTATTTTCAGAATCAAAACTAACCATGGCCTGTGGGGGAGTTATAGGCATAGAATTGGAATAAGCACTTCCCCTAACTGTCCAACATGCGACAGTCCATCAAATCCCAGTCATCTAATACTAGAATGCCCAGAGTACGATAACCAGAGGAAACAATTATTGGATGATCTGTATATAGGGACCCCAGTATAATGGGCCCAATCAATCTTGAAACGCTGTTGGCAAGTAACAACATGAAGGTCTTGGATTTAATTTATAAATTTCTTAAATCATTCAACATTTCCTTTTAACGTCCGGGAGAAGGATAAAAAAAATAAATAAATGAATAAATATTATATGGCAGTATTTCCAAAGCAAAAAAAAAAAAAAAAAAAAATTTAAAAAAAATTATACAGATAATAAAATAATAATGTATTCCTTGGCAAATAATATATTGGAAAAAGAGTTTTAACAAACGTTATTATGTACGTATTGTTTTTTATTAAAAAAAAAAAAAAAAACCGGCAAATTTATGCTTCCTTTAAAAGCATTAACTCTTTTCTCTTTATTAGCTTTGCTTGTTTATAAAAATAATTTGCCCATATCTACCAAGATATAAAATACATTTGAAATCTTCAGTATGGTAATTAAATTTTTTGTCGGTTTATTTAAAATATTCCTGGTATGAAGATGAGAATTGGGGATTGACCCATTTGATAATTATATCAATTCTTAAAATTTAAATAAAATTGACAAAAACCAGTTGGTTAAATGGTGTGTGTGTGTATTTTTTTTTCTTTTTTTAAATTGTTTGATGGGGATTCATGTGTTTGCACAAACGCACATACATACTACATGTATGTGTGTTTGCACAAACGCACATACATACTACATGTATGTAGAACAGAATTGGCTGTTTATTTTTGCTGTGTTTATTTGTCAGGCCTACTGTGGATGGGCCAATGATCCCAGGAATGTCCAATATAAATAAAAGAGTTAATATACAGAACACTTGATTATAATTTTCTAAATCTAAATTATGAAACCATGGAAGATACAACAATATGAATAAGCATATTAAATTATATTAAAGCAATTGTAAATAACATGGCCAATGATCTTCCTGGTCAGATTTTTGTTTTCTTCATTATTGTTGTACTTCTTTTTCCTTTTATAGGTGAAAAATTTCTGTTTTGATGGGTTTTTTTGTTGAAGATATTTTTAAATTAAATTACAGTTTTTCCTTTCTGTTTTTTGATTTTGTATAAAAACCTGTAAATGTAAACGGTGAAAAACTAATTTTATTTAAAAACACCTTAAAGATTTTTTTTTTTTTAAATTCTGAACTGAACATTTTTCGATGTTTTGTGGCACATGATATAAAAGTAAAAAGTTTACTTTAGAATTGTATGCAATTGTTAATTAAATTAATTAATTGAACTGTCACAGAGGATTTTGAACCACCAAGCACAATTTTCCCACCACCAAAATCTAAAAGGAGTCTGGATTTTAATGAGCCTTCGACATCAACAGAAGGAGTGACTACTACCAAAAAACCCAATACTGTAGGTTTTTCTTTTTAAAATTTACTATCATTTTTGTAAAACATGTAAAAAATGTAAACAAAAATTTACAGCAAAATGACCTAGTTAAAGAGCCAAATTTGGACGAGTGCTTGCTTCTTGATAACTCATTTAGTGCTCAATCTTCGAACAATTCTTTAGAATGTCTGCCCCTTCAAAATTACAGCAAGAGGACTGTCAGCGAACTATTTGGTGATCTTGATGACATGGATGACATTGACGATTTAAACGAGCGTAAGATTTTATTTATAATATTGTATTTGATGGTAATTTATAAAAAGTTGGTATAGAATTTTCAAAGAAGAGGAGAATCGAGACAAACAGATCCAAAGAGGAAAAACAAGACTTACTTATTGAGGCTATAAAGAAACAAAGGAAACTAATTTCCGATGAAAGAAGTTTTATAGAAACTGACAATTCACAACGGTATATCTAATTAAGTAAATTTTCTTAAACATTTTAAATTAATACATTTAATTTAGAATAGAAAAGAAAATTGAAGACTGTATGAGTCGCAATGTACCAAAATGGCCTTTTATTGCCACCACTGACAGTAATGGCCAACGTATATATTTGAGGGTTCACTCGGATGAATACATTTCAAATCAGGTGATAATATGTTTTTAAAGTTTGTTGACACTAACTGTATATTTCTCGTATTTAAGTTTCAGAATTCTCAATCTGCATATAAAAAAACTGGCCTGCTGAATATACCATATGATATTTTGAAAGAAGCTGCATTTAAGGAGGTAATAAAATTAGCAATAAACCTAAAACCGTAATATACAAAAATCAGAAGGATCGCCATAGCCGAGTGGTCAGCGTGTTAGGCTCTTGGCTTGTAGAGCTTGTGGGCAAGGGTTCAATTCCCACTGTGGCCTTTTTTTCACACTCCCCTTTCCTCAATAAACAATGAAAATATTGGCATATTTTTTTTTTTTTTTTTTTTTTCAGAGGAAAAGGAAACAAGAAAGAATTGCTCTAGAGGCCAAAAAAGATATTGAGATAGTTGAAAACGCAGGAAAAGATCTTTGGGTTGAAAGATATAAACCAAAAATCTATCTAGAATTATTAAGTGATGAGGTTGGTGGTTTATTTAATTAATTAATTTATTTTTGTAATTTCTAAACACAATAATAAATTAAACAAAAATAAGAGGCCTGTGAGGTGATGAACCTGTAGTTTGTTTGTCTCCGGCCTTTCTTGTCTGCCTATTTTTCAAAACAAGTATCATCTGAAAAAATAATATACAGGCCAGCTATTGAAAATTGTAAAACTTTCATGTCTGACAGAAAAAAAGCAATGAGAATAGACGTGTTTATTTAGTAAAGATCAAACTACAAAAATATATTTATAGTACTTAAGTATATTACTTTATTATAATACTTTATAATACTTTTACTTTTTATTTTGTTTTAAAGTTTATCTTAAATCTTGATAAGTTTATTGTTATTTATTTGTGCAGACTTTCAAATTTTATATTGTTTTACATTATACTTTTTCATCTGTTGGTTTTTGAATCTAAATTGATAAAGTAATTTAGGGAAAATGTATTTAAAACAATGCAAATCTAAAATTATTGCCTTAAATTTTTTTTAGTCTACAAATCGAACTCTCCTTCATTGGCTGAAACTTTGGGATAAAGTTGTTTTTGACAGGGAACCGATTATGATAAAGAAAATGGACCAGATAAAGAAAAAAGAGCTGTTCGATGAATTCGGCAGACCCATGCAGAAAATAGCTTTGCTGTGTGGCCCTCCTGGGTTGGGGAAGACCACCCTGGCTCATATGATTGCCCGACAAGCAGGTTACAATATTGTTGAAGTCAATGCGAGTGATGACAGGAGCGCCCAAGTCTTCAAAGTACAACTCGACGCTGCAACACAAATGAAATCTGTAATGGGTGTCAATCCTAAACCAAATTGTTTAATTCTTGATGAAATTGACGGTGCTCCACAAGTAATTGATTTAATTCAGTAATTTAATTCAGTTATTGATCAGTATATTTACTTCAGGCAGCAATTGAGGTCCTAGTCAAATTTATCAATGAAAAACAAGATAAAAAAAAGAAAAAGAAAAGTTTTGGAATTCTAAAACGGCCTATTATCTGCATATGTAATGATATTTATGTACCAGCTTTAAGGCCTTTGAGGCAAATAGCTTACACATTAAATTTCCCACCATTATCATCTGTAAGGTGAGATTACAGTTCAACATATACATTATACTTGATTATCGTGACAATATTTCAGGCTTGGTGAAAGGTTAATGGAGATTGCAAAATCTGAGAAGATTATTTCAGATCTAGGAACTATGATGGCGCTGAGTGAAAAAACAAATAATGACATCAGGTCTTGCTTGTCAGTTTTGCATTGTCTTAAATCGAAGGGCGAACGGGTGACATTGAGCCAGGTCCAGGCAGCAAACGTTGGTATAAAAGATGTACAACAAGGATTGTTTACAGTTTGGCAGAAAATATTTCACATCAAGCTTAACAGGTAAACCTTTTAATTTCTCACTAAGTACTTGCAGAAATTTTATTAAACACTTGCAATTTTTTAAAAATAGAAAAAACCAGAAGATAGAAAACTCAGATTGCAATGTCCCCCTCTTAAAAAAAAGGTTTGTATTATTTTAATTACGCTAAATTCGGATCTAGTTTTACTGATATTGTTGTAGACTACAAGAAGTCCTGACTGCGGTTCAAAGCTACAGTGACTATGACACCCTTGCAATGGGTGTCTTTGAGAATTTTCTAAATTTAAAACCCAAGGATTCATCTCTAAAGCCGGTAATTTCATTATTTTTTTAAAATTTTTATATAGGGACATCCTTATCTATAAATTCTTTTCATGCTATATTATTGTTAACATTACAATATGTTTTAACACATGTTTATTATTAAAAGCCTCTTTCAATAATTCACTTTTGAGACTTGAGTTTCCTGAAACAGAAAGAAACAAAGCGTTTGCTTTAATCAACAATACTATTTGAAAATTAACTATACTATTGTAATTTATATTATTAGTGCCAAGTGTATAAATTTAAACAACTTTGGAATGAATTAGCCTTTTTTTGTTTGAATTGACTACAAGCTTATTTTCCGATCAGCCATTAACCTTTTTGAGACTGATTTTCGGATAATAAAAGTCCCATGCCTATAGCCTAAGTCGCTACGTGACCCCCATAGCTTGATTTATTTTGTATTAGGCATCATCAAAGCATTCGTTTTAAACCGCTCTTATTCATTTTTTTCTCCTTTTAAGTTACACCAAATCTGTTCAAAATTCGACAGAATTTGAGAACATTCCTCAAACACACAACAGATCCATACAATGGAAGTAAGTAAATGTAATGAGAAAAAAAATTGAAAATTAATTTTACTCAAAAAGGTTTAATTATATATTTTAAATCATAATAATGAAAACAAAATAAAAACTGATTGCTAATAAACAAACATTAACAATAGAAAACTAAAATAGAAAACCTGGGAGATAAGAGGCGAGAAATCAGAAAGGAAATTGGGTAGATGGTAGGGAAGGTTAGAGGGTTGGAAAGGGCAGGGACAAGAAGTATACAAAAGGTAGACATTGACTTTCCCAATGAGATTGGAGATATTGTGGCAGTATGGTTTTTCAGAAAAAGGAATGTCACAATTTCCTTATGATGAGGGCGGGAAAGAAAGAGTGTGGAAGGGAGATCTCTGTTCACTACCGAGATGTCTGTTACACATTGGGCAATACCTCAGCCCAATAGATGCCAGTCTTTTCTAAAAGGCAAAAAACTACAAGGATGAGATATCTTGTCACAGACTTGGGGGCATGCAAGCCTGAACATCACTCATCTCGAAAAGTTAACATAAACAAAAGTAATTCTTGGCTTTCAAAAAAATTTACATACAACTAATTATTCAGAAATCGTGAGATGTGGTCTGGTCCACATCTCACAATTTCTGAATAATTATCGATTGACGGTCACTAATCACCACACATTTTACATACAACTGTATATTGCATGTCATGGACAAGTTATCATTGCCTATTAGGTCACTTTAAAATGACTAATAAAAATTCAAGGTTAGTACTAGGATTTGGACCCAGGACCAAATGTGTTAAATATAAGAATAAAACGCCTTAATAAACTAGGCCATAGATGTTCTCTTTAAAATAAATAATTTACAATTTATTGTATTGTGTAATAGCCATAGTACAAGTGTAAAATAACTCATTTACTTTTATAAAGTATACTTTGACTTTTTAATTCACATTCTTTAAAATTATTTTAGCATTTCCTAACTGATTAGCAAATAATTTTGTTAATGGGTTGAATTTTCATATTAGTTTTTAATGATTCAGGATGAAACTTTCATAAAATGCTACATCAAGCCTTTTTTCCCTTGGGTTAACTTACATAGAGTTACATGAAATAACTTTTATTATATATATTTTTTACCTTTTTTCTAATTCTAAAAAGCATTTTTAAATTAGAGGTAGTCCAAGTGACATGTGGTTTTTTTAAAGGTTAATTTATTTCACATTTTTCTTCATTTCTTTTTTCAGGCTTTTTTTTCTGCCCATCATCAGGAAAAAACAAGAACAAAAAAAAGAAGTATAGTCAAATGAGTACACATTATAGCATTAGTAATTAACATCATTTACATTTTATTTTATGATTAAAATCATCAATATTAATTAACTAGAGTCTCACCTATCATCCCATTGTGTTTTTGTTGAGGAGGCTTCCCATTGTCTCTCCTCAAAAGGGCATTACAAGAAGAAAGTGAAAAATAAATTGTCTCCGTCCAGGCCAACAGAGCAAAGGAGAGTGCGAATTACAAAGTTCAAAAACCAGGGAAAACCTTTAGGTTTTAGTCAAAGAACCGTCACTTTCATGAGGTCCAAATTAGGAAAAATACGCAATGGAATGGTAGGCGAGATTGCTAGGTAATTAATATTAATGTTTTTTAATCATAAAATAAAAAATAAAAATGTAAATGATATTAATTACTAGTGCTATATGTGAACTAATTTGTTTGTACTTCTTGTTAGGGTTTTCCTGATGATGAGCAGAAAAAAATAGCCCTAAACACAGAAGAAAAATAAGAAATAAACTAACCTTTAAAAAAACCACGTGTCTCTTGGACTACCCTTAATTTAAAGAAACTCTTTTAAGGAAGAGAAAAAAGGTGAACAAATATACCTATATAATAATCTACAGACATGGAATCAACTACAATAATTTAAATGAAATAACTTTTGTGAATAGCTGATCTGTTACCATGATTCTGATCTTTATTTATTCCTTTAGACTCCTTTGTTTGTATTTGATCATTGCCAGGTTACACTATCATAGATATTATGATTATTAAAAAAATTGGCAAAAAGAGGGAAAATTTGAAAGGTTGTAGGTTGAGATGGGTAGTTGGTGTCTGAGTGGATCGAAGTCACGATAGCTCAAGTGGTTAGAGAAGCGGTACATTGAGCCGAAGGTCATGGGTTCAATCCCGCTCGTGACACTAACTTTTTCATCTCAACCAAGACTTTACATAAAACTATTTAAAAAAAGTAGTTATTTTAAACTGTCTACTTACAAAAGTGTTTTGTATTTCATTAGAACTGTTGTGGGCAGTTCTTTTATAATTTGTATCTAAATCTTGTAAAATATCGCCATTTACTTTTGGGACAATTGGGTGTTCAGACTTCCCGAATAATACCAGCAACTTCTTAGAAATCCACTGTCGTTGAGTATCTGATAAGAAATGAAGTGAAAAGAAAATCAAATTAAAAATTGCACAAACCCGAGTGTTTTTGTTTTTTCAGGCAAATGATTTTTTTTTTGACACATCACAATCACGTATTTAATAGGAATTTCACCTTAAATTGTTTTGCAAGGACAATAATGAAGCGTTAATTTCAAAACAGGACATTCTTACATAGTGTTGTGACTAGTGTCGAAATTGTCAGTGTGATGCACATCGCATTGACTGTCAAACTGAATTATGGAAGTGTTGGATGGAATGTCTTTGTAAATCTCATCGACTGCCATATGTCGAATAACTGTGATTAGGTTTGCTGCATTGTGAATGGGTTTTCGTTTGGTCAGAAGGCCATTTCTAAAATAAAAATAAAAAACAAAACTGATAATTTATCAGATCTGTAACTAAGTCGAACCTAGTTTTCTTATTTACCCAGAGGACTACCAGAATGAATCATGCTCAAAGGATTACCTTGTTTTTGCTGTCCTATGAGGAATGTTGTATATAACCAACACATATATTGCTAAGGTACAAAATGTGTAACAGAGGGTTTGGTATCGTGTGACTAAATAAAAAGGTAACATCACGTTAAAATGGGCCAATCAACATAAAATCATGTGACTTTAATTTCTCATACATATGATTGAAATATATAAAAAGGAGGATTCATTAATTCATTCATTGCTTTTCCAGCAATTATTTTCAAGAAAATGAAATAAAAATATTCAAAACATATTTAATCAATAAAATATTTTGATGCAACAATTGCTTTATTTGTAAGTTTATTTTTAGGTGGTTCAGTCTCTAAGGTGGTTTTGTTTTCATGACATGATGACCAGCTCTATCCACTCAACTCAAAACTATGCCCTTTATCCTTACCTACCGTACTCATTTGTTTTTTGGAATTTGGCACTTGCAACAATACGCTGGCCAAAGCTGAGCTATCCTTCAACACCATACGAGGTATGTCATTTAACAATACACTTTAATTTGAATTTAATGAAAATATACTTTATTGACAAAAGTAATATTAAATAACAATACAAGTCATAAATGTCTGTAATATCAGTCTGTGGACTATTAGTTCCTAGTAGTCCATTACTCCTACTAGCCAAATAGGCTAATAATTTCAGTTAAACTTCTTAACGTCCAACTATCCATTGGGTTGGACGAGTGGGTCAAACAAACTTACAATACATTTTTCTAAATACTCTTAATTAAAATTGCCTATGCCAGGATTTGAATCCTGAACCACGAATCCAGAAAATACGAAAATATGAGAGCTTGACACTCCAATGATTTGTCCACCCCAGTCTGTATACTAGTGAGTGATTGGTGTCATACATCTCTCAGATGCTAATCCATACATCTCAACTCGTAAAAATATAAAAATTATGAACTAGTAAATTTTTCTAGCATAACATGCTTACTAAAGAATTTCTCACAATGCTGATTATTTTGTTTTTAATGTTTTTATAATGAATCTCAATTAAATTTACTTAGCATTTTTACCTCTAAATTATTTACATTTGCAATAAATAAATAATTTTGTTAAATTTATTACTTAACTGGACACATGTTCGGGGTAGACACAAGAAAATAATTTGACTATTTGATATTTTTGCTTTTTATACAAAAATAAAAAGGTAAAAGAGTAAAATCAAACACTATAAAATAAAATTTAATAATTTATATTATTTTATATTTTATGATGGAATGAAGCAATTATTCTCTCACAAAATATCATGTATCTATAAATTGGTATCAGCTTCATCAAGCTATGAGAACTGTCACCTCAAAACCGGTAATTATCGTTCGTAAATGTAGCTACAAAATATGGCACTCTCATTATGGGGTACTCTCAACATGACATGCAAGAATGGCATAATTACACAGAAAACAAACACTTTGAGCCCTGAAGATGATCTCAATAAAGATTGAAACGTACGTTGGCACGATAAAGAAAATGTTTTTCTAAAAGCTACTTCACAACAGTCTACATCTCACGATTTCTGAATAATCAATTTATTTAAAAGTATAATAGGAAAAGTAAAACACAAAAATAGGTCTAAAAATGAAATGTTTTTATATATGAAAGAATAGGATTTATAAGACTGGCTCCAAAGCGCAAGCCCTTCAGTGTCAGATCAAACACTGAAAGTCATTGAAATTAATTAGTAGTGGCACAAGAAAACACTTTGATTGCTCAAAAAATTATAATTTGAACAAGGTTATATGAAACAAAAAGTTTGTTAATTGTAAAAATTAAAAAAAAAATTTACATCCTTTACAAGTTTTTTCCTTGTACTAGTGTACATTAGGCCATCTATTACTTGGTGCTGATGGCTTCTAAAGGATAATTGATTATGTATTATAATGTAATGATAAGGCAATATGCAATATGCAGGTAAGTAAGAGAGCTGGTGCTTAGGACAGAACAGAATACAAGTGGTCAGTACAGAAGTACCTGTGCCTTACATATGTCTCCATCACAATCTATGACCACCTACACTGCACAGAAATGAAATAGAGCAAAAATGGGTTTGAATTGTATTTGGCATCATCTAATTGAAAAAAATAATGAGAACTCAGTGCTGTGATTTTTTTATATTAACAATTGTAAGGCTAAAAAAATTATATAAAAAAATTCTTTTGTTCCCAAATAATGTCACCAAAAATTCTAGCCACTCACATAATTAAAAAAAATTATATGGGTTCAAAACAGTTAATTAGTACAACAGTGAAACAAATAATCCAATTATTGCTTTAAATCACAACAACTGTCATAATGAAAAAGTCTGGCGGCATGGTTCTGATCTGATCAAAAAACATGTTTATGAGCATGCTAAAAAACAATATTTTAATACAATAAAGTGCAAAGATTATTTTTTACATACAGAGAATTAAATTTCAGTTTAGCATGTAAGCATTACTTACATGACACCAATTCGTCGATGAATGATGCTAGATAATAAAATGCAACAACCGGACACCATACGGATTTTGTTTTTTGTTTTAAACTAAATGTATTTTTATCACTATTACATATTAATTACAATATGTGTTAATAAGCTAAATTAAACGAGATCAGAAATTCATGAGTTGTAATAAAAAATATTTAATTATGGTGGTTTGAAAGAAAATTCACCAAAGCACCGGAAAATCATTTAGTGTTAAATTAAAATTTAAGTAACTTTTTTTTCATAGTTTTGCTCTTAATACATTATTTTGAGCAAACCTGTTAATAAATTGAATTCATTGTATCACTAAATTCCAGTGTTTCCAGTATTTTGGCAAATTTTATTTCAAACCTTCGTAATTAAATAATTTTGACTAAAACATGAATTTTTGTTCTAATTTGATTTGGTTCACATTAAAATAAGTATATTGTAATTGATATGGCAACAAATATGCATGTAGTTGGAAATAAACAATAAAATATGTGACCGGTTTTTGTCTTTGAGTATATACTTTAAAAATGTAAATAAGTTATATGATCTATGTGGTGGAATAGGAGACATTTTATACAATTTTTTAGTGGTTTACCCTGTATATGGCGAAAGAAATACGTGTTTTATTTACGTATTTTTAAATAAAGTTTTGATTACTGATTTGGCAAAGACTGGCTTAAGTTAATTAAATTCTGCGAAACTGCATATAAATGCTTTGGTAAATTATTAGGAAATTAATTTACGTTATTTATTTACCATTATTTATTTTAATATTAAATAAGTAATTAGTTTTCTTTTATATTGTTGTAACTATACAGTCTACAATTTAAAAAGATCTTTTTTTTTCTCCATTTGTAAGTATGTCGGGTTCGAATGCATCTACATAAAAATGCTGTAAAATTATACATTCACATAGTTTATTTGCGCAAGTAGAACGGCGAAATGACAATATTAAAAAACAGATAATTTCAATTTTCAAATTTTTTTGCCAAACTGGTCGGGCTTATTCACAAGAAGTGGCGGATACGAGTCTGATTTTTGTGTAGTGTAGAATCACCAAAAAAAAGGTCCAAATCCGTGACCCACCAACCTGGCCATCCCCTTGTTAGACAACTGATAGGCCTATTGGCAGGTTAGTAAATTATTAGGAAGTTAACTTAACGTTATTTCATTTTAGTAATAAATTAGTAATTAGTTTGTTTTTATATTGTTGAAACTATACAGTTTCTTTTTTTTCTCCATTTGTCGACCCGACCATATCGGGTTCGAATGCAAGGCCGTTGGATTCGAACCCGGGACCTTTACCTTACAGTGATGAGCGCCGTGGTCAAACCGCCTAAACCTTTGTGTCCACCGACGCCCCCGGTTTCTCTCCTCTGGACATAAAACTATTAGCAGAGACACTTTTTATACTAAATAAACCTAGTGACTAATACGCTTGGGCTGAAACCATCCCCTTACTAAATCATCCGTTGTTAACAAATAAACAAAGTAATGGAATGAGGCGTATTTTAAAAATATCTGTTAATCGCCGTTTCAGAAGTTTTAAAAACTACAAAGGAAGCCAAAAATTAAAAATATATAAAACATGGTTTTCCGCGATGACAGCAACGAAGGCTCTGGGATCGCTTTTGAATCCCTTGAAAGCGCAAACACCCCTCGAGACCGTTGCACCTTGAGGCGAAATTAAAACGAAAAAGCCTTTACAAGACAAAAGATAATCACTTTCTTCATTGAATCCCCTTTGTGGACGGGGGCCGGAGTGTCCAGGGTAATTGGGGCCTGGATGAAAAGGACATTATGTAAACAGAAATGAAAAAAGGCCATTAGTCTCATGGACTTGGGCCCGTTTCGGGAATAAAGAGGTGGTAATGACTTTTCTCAAAGGAGGAAGGAGAAGTTTGCATTAAACATCGCCTCATTACTCGAGTTGGCCCATATCTCATTTCCACCTCGAAATAATTGTTATACCCTGTCAAAATGTCTTGATGATGATTTCCACCCGTTTTTTCTTTTCATGTTGAAAAATTTAAAGAGTTAAAACTTAGGAAAGCCAGCGGCTTGATCGGTGGGCGTAAGACACCATTATAACTAAATTTTATAGGATTTTTTGAATTGTAAAAGAAAAAAAAAAGATGGCTGCGTCTATGGCCTATTTTGGCTCGTTTTGTGGTTTCTTGCTAGGACCACCAATATGTTCCTGGTTGTACTGAATATATCTCATTAATACATGGAAGTAATCCTAAATTTTTATATCTTTTTATCCGGCAGACGGAATGTTTTTATTTTATATTTATTTTATTCCCATTTTGATAAATAAAATATCGTTATTATGATTCTTTGATGGTCGAAGCATTTGAAATAGCAGTAAATTTGTTGCGGGTGAAAATGGTCGTTTGTTAAAAATTCAATTAGCATCGCTTTCGTGGAAATAGTAAATAATGGACTCTAATCTGATATTGAACTAGCAAGGATTTGTGAAGTTTGTTCAAATTTTGTTGGCTTTTTAAAAAGGAAATTAGTCAATTTACTTGTCTCCCTTTATCCTACCTCGGTGAAAATATTTTGAAAACCAATAATTACGGAATCTGTCAAAATATGTATTTTTTCTTCTATTATATTTTACAGTCGTTCTTCTTTTGTCGAATGTCTCTTTGCTGTGTAAAGATATTATCTTGCAGTTTTCAATCGTATAGAACTTTATCGGATCGTATTATTTATTGCTATTGTGATTTGTTCGCCTGGTTAGAATCATCCCTTTATAAAAGAATATATAAAGTTTATGTGATTGATGATCTTTGTTTGATAAATCAGATCTTAAACCCAAACTTCGATTTCTGACCATGACTGATTGAGAAATTATCCCAAAAAGAACTTTGAAAATCACTATAAAAAAAAACTTTAACCTTTATAAAATACATATTTTTTAAATTTTATTATTTAGTGTATAGGCAAAGCCCTTACAAGAGTAGCCAGTATTCATATTAAATCGTACATTCATAGTGCAAATAGTGGCTTACTGATATTGCAGAATAAACCACAAACATGCATAAAATATATCATATTATGATAATGTTAAACAGTAATGGCACTGCTGATAATAGCCAAACTAGTAATGATAAATACGTGAATAAAACTAAATAATAACAATAATCTTTTCAAAAATCCTGGTGATTAAATCGATTGTGTGAATGTATTTATTTGCGTGAGTGGTTAAGTGTGAATGATCATGGTCTGTGAAATATATCCATAGACTTGTCGAACCATTGTGGTTAACCAGTACACTGAATGGATGATTTTTACTCTGTTTGAATGTATTTATTAGCGTGAATTATAAGAGGGCGTCAAGCCGGCCTCTAAACTGCATGTTTAGGAACTTGTAGGGGTGGGGTCTCTGTAGTACATCAAGAACTTTGAGTCACATTAAACTTAGGCTATCGTCTGAAGTATGAATGTGTATTTTAATTACCTTAGGACATTTTAATCACATGTGGAAGGTTTAAACGTCATAAGCAGAGGTAATAAAAAATACTAGATAGATAAATCGTGAGGAGCCGGTAATGGCCCTAGGTCAATTATGAATTATAATCTTATTTAATTATATTTGTAAATTTTTGTCGTTTATTTTGTATTATAAATAAATCACTATTTGTACTATAAATGTACAAATTAATATAATTAATAGGTTTAGCTACGCTTGTTAAGGCTTTGCATATATAATAAACAATCAAATTTAAAAAAAAAATGTTTGTCGCAAATTTGATGACTGTACCATAGTTATTTTTGAAGTATATTTTATATATTGTAACTGCCACATTTTGTTATTATGTGTTCCTTATATATTTTATTATATGTATATTTTTATTATATATTGTAGATGAATCAGAAGCAGAAAAGGTTCGCCCATATTCTCGAGTTCGCACACGTAGGAATGCCTCCGCATCTCCAAGCTTACCAGAACAAAGATATGCTTCTTCTCGACGTCATTCCATACCTAATCCACCTCATTGTACCGAATTTAAGGCCGGTCAGTTTTTCCGCAATGCTTTTGCCTTTAAGACTTTGCTGATGCTTTGCTTCCCAGGTTGGTGTCCAGCTGTACACACCGAAGGAACGCGCCGAGCTGGACAGGGTTGTGCAGATTATGGCTGACTATAATGTGAACTACACTCAAGAAAGGACGATGGAGGGCAACTACGTCTTCAACCTAGACCCGTAGGTTTTTTTACCTACTGTTTGTGGTCTTAATGTCCTATAAGTTAAAATAATTTTGTTATCGCTTCGCAGGAACATCGAAGACATTGGTATCTTCGGCGAAAGGCCAAGAGAACGGATCTTCGGTTACACGGGTAAGCAGCTGCTCGCCAAAGAGGTCGAAGCTGAAAAACTGAGACGAGCACGCGACAATTTTCACGGTAGCGAAAAACCCTCAGAATTAAAGGAAAAAACATCCAAAGCTAACAACGGTACGTTCATAGACGACTTATGAGTAGATTTCTGATCTGAATGTAACATTTTCATCTTAGCAAATCCCTTGGCACGATAGAAAATGGTTTTTAATAGAACTTAGTTTATTACAAATCATATCTTGATCATTTGTAGTAGTGGCAAGTTTTGATGACAAAAATGTGCTAGTATCTATATAATCTTTGAAAAACATATAAATCTTTCTCATAAGCTTGCTAAGTAAATATAAAAACTATGTAAATTCTAACTTGATTGCAACGTTCATTACTTCCTTTACAAAACCTCGGCAATATTAATAGCTTTTTAAACATTATCCGTAGAAAATTCGGTAACCGTACCTTTCCACGTTTTCAGATGGTGCAGAGAAAGTGGAAGAAAAGCAGCCTGCTTCACCCGCAATACCCAACTATCTGCAGAAACTGACGCCGAAAGCTCTGAAAACTAAAGTCGAGTCGGTAAGTCCTATTTTTTTTAAATCAAAGTGTCAAACATTAATAATAAGCGAAACGAACACATCCAGGTTGTGCCATGGAAACGCCTTGGTCTTTTTGTGGGGAAAGTCAAGAGAATTGGGGAAATCTATGAATATTCGGACATCTTTACAGTTAAAATCTACGTTAATAGTTACTGCCTAGTTACGTAGGAAAAGTTATATTTGGCCAGCATAAAATATCCTCTCTCGATCGGGTTTAAACTCCCAAGGGGGAAAAATGGATATGATTAGTCTAAAATTGCACTCACGAACATGAGATTTCTGACAACTTCATTATCAAGTAGTGCATTCAAAAACAAAATTTGGAATTGCCCATTAAAATATAATGATTTGCAACAAAAACTACGTTAGTATAGTTAGGTTTTTATTGACAACGCCATGTCATAATTTAGGTACGTTCTTGTATCTTCATTAGAAATGTATGAAATCGTTTTTTCCCCGTTCATTTGTTCATTTTTAAAAAATATTTTGTATTTTCAACTTTCCTTATTATTCAACATAATGACTTTTTCCTGTCCGTAATTGAACGGGTTAGGAGTTGTAGACTGTTTTCAACAAACATTTCGTAATACAGGAGTTTTCTTCGATCCCACTAAATGAATAACGGTTTTTATGCGATTGATATAAGCCGCAATCAGGATCAAAAATCGGGAATAGACCAATTAGAAAGAAAGAAAAGCACTCAACTCCTTCGTCAAAGATTTCGTCAATATATCACCTTCATCAAGACTTTGAAACCGTTTCTATTGATTTGTGCCTCCGATCATCTTGGTCCATCTATTGTCGTTGGTTTTGGTCTGTCAGACTAGTTTCAGCGTTTTGATAGGTTATTTTTCTTTCTTTAAAATTCGCCTTCTCTCTCTCTTTCTCCCTTTTTCCCATACAAAAAATAACGTTATTTTCTAACGGTGTGTGAAATAACCGTAGTTTGATCGCCTCCGATCATCCTGGCCCGTCTATTCTCGCTGTATTTGGGTTGTCAGACTAGTTTTAGCGTTTTGATAGGTTAATTCTTTTTATTTCGTTAAAATTCGCCTTATCTTGCTCTCTCTCTTTTTCCCATAAAAAAATGTCATTTTCTAACGGATGGTAAAATAACCGTACAGTTTGATCGCCTACGATCATCTCCGTCTATTCTCGCTGGTTTTGGTCTGTCAGACTAGTTTTAGCGTTTTGATAGGTTGATATGTTGTTTTTTCAGTCGAGTCCAGTATTAAGCGTCTGTAAAAAGTGAATACATACGAAAATTCGAAACCAGCTTGAATAGACTGGATAGATCGGAAACCGAGACAGGTTCTACAACTCACAATTTATGTGTATATAAAAGTAAAGTCAGAATATAAAACTAGGAGAACGCGAAATCAGGATCAAAATTAACAGTGGTTAGTTTATTCAAATTATGCATTCACTCTAGGTTGACTTTGAGATTTAAAAATCCCCATAATTCAAAGTTGAAATTTATCAGATTTTTAGAAAATAATTTTAATCAGCTGACTAAAGTTAAAGTGGATTATTTTTTGTTTATGTTTAATAGATTAATGTTTAGTTCTATGTCGCACAGATGTAAACTTGATTTTATTTTTTAAGGATGACCAGATAAATATATTTCTTAAAACGTGCTACACAATTTTTATACAATAAATAAATTGAATGGTTTAATTTACCTTTCGTTCCAGATTTTTTCTTGATGAAATAAATTAAAAATTGACAAAGGATTATCTGGGCGTAACCGTTTTATTATTTGGCCATGTTTTGAGTACTGATGTGTAAGGTTGATTCCGAGTGTATAAATTTACTTTGAAAAAAAATATCAGACCAAACAGTACTTGGCACTGTATTTGGCAAGGATAATGCGTTTTTATCCCCAGCATCCAGTAATTTCGCGATTCTCCTGACACTTCGCCTTCTGTGTCTAAACGGCCAAAACACTAAACCAATTACGGTGATCCCGGTCGGTGGGAACTGTCGGACGGAATTAGACAGGGGTTTTCAAACCTTAAAACCTTGCTAACGCAATTTGGCAATTGGCTGAAATGGAAGTTGGCCGAGTATGAAAAACTCGCGGCAACTGTCTAGGGTTGTCATCCTGACAAGTTTGGATGAATTAAGCTCTTAAACGAGTTACTGGGCGAACGGATGGATGCCTTTCCTTTCCCCCTTCCCATCACCTTGTTTTATTATAAAAGCAAACAAAACAATTTCCAGCTACTGGCCAATGAATAATGGAGTTGGTGCTATCAGTCACGTGTCGAATTCCGCGTCCTCAACAAGCCGCCCTCATCAGAGAGAGGGTTGTCCTTGTTTCCTCTGCGCAAAGGGTCAAATTAAATGACCGAGGAAACGTTCAAATCAATCTGTAAACAAATAAAAATCAATCACAGAAAATAAAGTCTTTGGGTCTGTTCGACGGTAGAGCCGCCAGTAAGATATTATTAGTATATAATAAACTAACCTACTACCTGGCGTAATTAAATAAGATTAATTAAATTCAATGAACGTAAGCTTAGGTTTAAATACAGTAGAGGCTGTAAAACTGAGGTTAAAAAAATCACAAAACATTTCTAAGTGATCAACTTAGTTCTAGGGGACCTGTAGCTGAATAGTTTTAGCGTGATAGACACCCGGCTCGTTGAACCGGCGGTCCAGGGTTCGATTCCCACCGTCGCCCATGGCCCTTTTTTCACGATACGCTTCACTCTCCTCCAAAAAATACGCATTTGTATGTATATATATACATAGCTGATATGCATAGCTCATGTGGCCAATTAACTTAGTTTAACTTAAGGCCAGATCTTAGTTCTACTAATTTACAGGGTGTCCCGTGGACTGACGTCAACACTTTAGGAAGTTATTCTACATCTCAAATTTAACTAAAAAGTCCCTATTGTCATATCAACTTTAAGGAACTTTATATCATAAAGTCCCTTGTATCTCATTAAATGTAAATCCTAATGTAAATTTGATAACAACAATGCAAATAGCATTGAAAACTATCAGTTGGATTTTAATAAAAAAAATTTATTGTAACCTTAAACAAACAAACTAAAACGCTTAGAAGATAAGATTTTACTTTTTGGTTATTCCAACTTGTCTGATGTTTAAGTGAGATTTTCTTGGTTCTGTAAATATTGGTAGATAGTGCGCTTAAAGAAAAGTTGTCCCTACAAATGAGTTGTAAACACACGTATTTCTCAAACGTCATTTATCACCAATTTATATGTTTGTATGTTTATTCACCACAGGATGAACATTGAAAGCAGTAAATTCTGTCGGGGAACAATTTCAGATTTGCATTATTCAAGATGGACCTTTTGAACATTTAATTTAATTTTTTAGAAGCTTTATGTTTTTTCTTACGTTCAGCTTTGTACCAAAGCGTCTTTTTTATTTGTATTATTTTCATTATTTTTTAATAGAAGTTTCAAAATCGTAGTGACTTTTGAACCATTTGTCATCGAAACAAAATTACATTGGTGATAACTCATCTTTGAAAAAAGTAAGTACGTGTGTTTACAGCTCATTACTAGTGGCAACTTTTCTAAGCGCTATATCTGTTAACATTTACAGGCCCCAGAAAATCTTACTTAAACTTTAGACAAAAATATTAGAAACTCGTAAAATTTTATCTTCCAAGTGATTTTGTATTATTTGAAGTTACAATAAAAATGAAAAACAGATGTATATCATGGGTTTTTCAATGCTCTTTAAATTGGAGTAATCAAATTTGCATGGCATCAAGATTTTATGATATAAAGGTGACTTTTTGGTATAAAGTTGTGAAAGAGGATAAGGTAACGTGAAAAGTGAAACATCTGGACTTTGAACAATGGGGGCTTTTAAGTCAAACTTGAGATGTAGGATAAACCTGAAGTAGTGTCTGTTCACGGACACCTTGTGCCATAGATAACGTGTATCTTTTTTGTTGTCAAATAGGGTTTAACTTGTTCCATTCATTGTGCAGTTCAGCACGATGTGGTTCAAAATTTCAAGGGTATTGGAACCAGAACAATTTTGATAATTGGTTAGTAAAATCTTGTGCATCTGCTTTTTGGAGCTATTGCCTTAGGAGCCTTACGCTCCTTGGTACTTGGTACAAATGGTACAAGAGTAGTCAGTAGGGCATCCTACCCTTCCCATGGGAAAATCCTTTGACGCTTATTTTTCTTTTTAACATAATGCTTGCCTTTAATCGGAACCAGTTGATATGTAATTCCCAGTACATCATTATATGTAGTAATGTGTAATAATAATGCCAAATAATAAAATTGGCTTGTTCCTAGCATCATATTAATTAATAAAAATTTATGTTCAAATTTATAATAAATGCAAGCAACAAGATTTTGAGCACAACTGGATTTTGGTTTTGTGCGATTTTTAACTTTATAATGAAAGAATCTGGGTGAAAAATAAATAATTTATTATTTGTAAAAATGAAGTACATGGCAGGCAAAAAACAAAAGCAGTAAAAACAGCTGGTTATAATTGTCTATTTTTGTTTAAATGAAAATAATTTTTTTTTTTTTGGCCTTATGGTCTAGCATATTGGCTATGTCTCAAATGAAAATAATAAAAACCTTAATAATTAAAAATAATAAAAATCATTAGCCATTATGCTTTCGAAGGGAAGAATTGTGTTATCATGTAAGAAAAGAAAAAAATCTTCTTTGTGTGCATCGCATTACAACCAAAATCTTTAATTTTCGAAAAAAAAATCCAGTGAAATCATTTTTCATCTTCCACGCCTTCGTTTTCGGCCTCGATCGTTTTCCTTCTTTTACTGATTTTTTGCTAAAATACACTTAAGCCATGTTTTACCAAGTAATAGAAACTGGGCAAGTCTCTTTCTTTGTGTATTACATTACAACCAAAATCTAGACTTGTAGTGAAATCATTTTTCATATTCCACCCCATTGTTTTCAGCATAGGACGTTTTTCTTCTTTTACTGATTTGTTATTAAAATA